AATCGAAACTAAACTGCAACAAAAACCCTAAACCAAACAAACGCGCGCGCACAAAATGGAAACATATGTTGAAAACACATATCACCAGATTGCAAAACTATTCCTGTTTCCAATTCTTCTGCCAGGAAACAGACGTTGAAAATATATATTACCACTGGTTGCTGATTGTGCCTGCTCTTGCCTCGCCCCTTCATCCTTGAAATCGACTTCCGATGCAGAAATGCTTCACAGAATTTCAGAGGAAAACTGATTGAAATTTTGTATCGAGAGAAAATCTCTCAAACTTTCAGAAGCTGTAAACATACTTGCCCATTCGGTTTCGAACCGTCGGTTCGAACCCCCGGTTCGACGGTTTATGAACCGGCGGTTACGGTTCGAACCGAAACCGAAACCGTCTTTATATTCTCAAACCACAAACCGGCGGTTTAGCTTTTTTTTTTTTTTTTTTTTTTTATCTCACCATGGCAAGGGCAGGCATTCGCACAGAAAAAGAAGAAGAAGAGGAAAGGAGGAGAGGACCGAGGTTGGAAGAAAAAAGGAAAGAAATGAGAGGAACTGAGGAATAACTGAAGAAGGAAGGAAGAGGGAGAACCTGTTTGTGGAGGCTCAGGCGCGGCTGCGGCTGGAGTGTGGATGTGATGCTGATTAACCATCAGGTTTAAATTGTACGTATTTTATAATAATATCATTATATTTATAATTAAAATTTAAAATATAATAATAATAATAATACTAATAAATATAAATAATTATTAATAATATTAAAAATAATAATACTATTAATATTTTTTTATTTATATTTTATATTTTATAATTTTTTATTATATAATTATATATACTTTAAATTATTTTATTATCTATTACAATATTTTTATAATTTAATTATTTGCTATATTTATTATTTTAATTATTTTTATATTTTTAAAATTTTAATTAATTATTTATATATATATATGATTTTTATATAATAAATAAATAATAAATATATTTAAATAAAATTAAAATGAGACTTAATATTTTTTTAAAATAAAATTCAAATTTTTAGAAAAATAGAAAATAAAAAAGAAAAATATTAAAAATGAGTATATATAAACCGACTGTTTAAACTGTAATTGAAACCGTCAATCAATAACCGAAATCGTCATTTGGAATGTTCGATTTTGATTTGATATTTTGACAAATCGTAACCGGCGGTTTGAACCGTTTGGGCAAGTGTAGTTGCAAGGGTATTTGCAATGTTATGTAGATAATACAGTTACTAAAAAAAAGATACTTTGTTATGAGACGGACTAAAATAAAAAAATAGATACTTTGTTATGGGACGGAGGAAATATATTAAATTTATTTTAAATTACCAATATTATTCATTATAAATATAAAAAAAATTATTATTATAAATTCTTATTATTAACTAATTAAATATTATTATTTTAAATATTGTATTACTAGTGAATTGAGTCAATTGTTGTGGGTCGGAAGGAGACTACAATAGCTTTGTTCAGAGCAATGCAATTCCCAAAAAACCAATAATAAATAATACTTCTTCGGTCACAAAGTTCAATATTTGTTTTTTCACGAATTTTTAGGTAGGTAGAATATTAAATAGGATAATTTAGAAATGAAGTAATATAATGAAGAGAAAAATATATATTTTATTTTTTTTTATTTGGATGGTGTGAGAGAATAAAGTGTGGGATAGAGATAAAATGTTTGGGACATACTAAAAATGAAATATTGCAGGGTGTGGAGGAAGTACAAAATATAATATATTTTATAAAAGTCAAAGTAAAAAAAAAATAAAAATCAAATACTCATTACAAAAGTCAAAATATTCAACTTAAAACAATACTATATTTTATCTTTTTTCTATACAATTTCCAGTATCTCATATAAAAAATCAATTTATCTGAAAACGTTGGGTGAACGGAGCCAATATTAACATCACATAATATAAAAATAAATAAAAAATATGCAGTAAAAAAGATAAATAATACTCCCCTCGTTCCAACTTAAGTATTATTTTTATTATTTTTGTTTATTCCACTCAAAAACATTCATTTTCTATTTTAATAAAGTAAGCATACACTAATATCAAAATACCTTTAACTTTTATCTAAAATAGACACATACAATTAATTTATACATAAAGTCAAATGACAAAAATATTAAAATCTTACGCACTTACATTAACTATAAAATATAGTACTATTATATATTAATTTGTTACAAACTCAGCCCTTTGACATAGGATGAAAGGAGTATATAAATTATGTTAACATAACATAAATATAATAAATATATGAAAAAAGGAGGATATAAATTATATTAACATAACATAAATATAATAACTAGCAATGTTAGCATAATATAAAATATAATATACATACACATAACAATAAAAATTAATAAAAATACACGAGATATTATTTTTATACTAATTTTTTACAATTTCTCATATCTTATAGCAGTTAAAATAATTATATTAAATACCAAAATATCCAAAAAATTCACAAAAATATTCATTTTATTTTTACTCTAAAAAAAATATTAAATTATCTTACTTATTTGGGTTGAACATGTACGGATTTACTTTTGAACTTCCTAAAAAATATCTAATACTAGGGGAATTTATGTGAAACTTGTAAAATATAGATTTTTAAAAAAACATTCAACGTGAAATTTGAGTTTGCATCACAACAATTACATTAAATTTGAGCGAAAAAATATTATAATATTATTTTTTTTAATATATGTATCAAACCAAATAACATGTGTGTTTCTTTATCTCACGTGTCAAATTTTTACTATTTGAATTTTGTATTTATCGAAAAAAATATAAGTATATATTGTAGTGTTTTTTTTATAAAATATTTTATTATGTATTGTTTTAATACAAACTCAAAATAAAATTTTACAAAACTTCATAGAAAAAAGACACCTATTTATATTTTGAATTTGTGTCAGTAGTTGGACACAAAATTTAATTTTTTATAAAATACTTTCTCCGTCTCATTTTAATGGGGTTGTTTGAAATTTTATAGTAAATTAAAAAATAATATTAATATTTTATTGGTTAGTGAAAATGCTTATGAATTTTTTATATTTTAATTTTATATATAAAGTAATCGTGTGTAATGGTATATTTATAATTTAAATAAAATTTTAAAATATGTTTTAATATTAGTATATGATAATTTATTCTAAAATATAAAAGAGATCATTTCAAATATGACAAAAATAATAAAAATAGTATTTTGAATTGAGATGAAAGAGTAATAAAATATATCAAATTTTATGTCGATTTTGAGTGCACAAAGCGACATAGATTTATTTGATTTTTCTCCGCCACATTGCTTGCTTTATTCTGATTTTTGCTTCGATCCTTTCAGTTGTCGGTTTCTCCTTTATAGAGTGAGGGGTACTATAGTAATTTTCACATGCACTCGCTTTGTAGTGGTTGCCATGGACCGCAAAAAGTTTACTATTGGCTTGAAATGATCATCAGCACATTGAATTTCATGATGTTTTTTCTTTTTATATACTTTATCGTGTTATTATTATTATTATTTAATATTTAAACATAAATACATAAACCAACCCCCCAAAAAAGCAAATAAATATACACTGTAATCGGTTTACCCAGTGAGCACTTTCGAGTAGCAGCGGATTTCTACGTCATAAAAAAATAAAAAAAATACACATTGTAATCAATTATAATTTAAAATATAATTGAATTTCAAAGTAGATCAACAATCAAATACAACTAAATTGAATATCAAAAGTATGTTTGATTTGAGTTGTAAATCCAAAATTATTCTATTTTCGTCTCAAATATGATACAATATTTAATTTTGACGAAAAAAAATAAATAAATTAAGTAGCATTCAATACCATAATTTAGGAATGATGTGATTTGATGGAAGTGATATGTGTATATTTATTTATTTTTATTTGGATGATGTGACAAGATAAAATTTAGTGTAGTAGTTAAGTATAATTAATTATTTTTTATTTAGAAATATTACATAGTATTTAAAATAGAAAAAAAATTAAAAAATTACAAAGAGTATTTGAGACGGAGTAAGTACTATTTAATATATTTGTTTTTCAACAAAAATATATTATTTTAGTTTATAAAATATTATACTTTTTCCGTTCCAAAACTAGAGTCTTAATTGGGTTGGAAACGAGATTCAAGGAATATTAATATTATATTGGTAATTGGTAAAAAGTATAAGTAAAAACTTTTTTTCCCTTGTGAGTGTATTAGTGTAAAAAGTAGTGGCAATTATATACTCCCTCCGTCCCAATATAATAGTCTTGTTTACCATTTTTGTAGGTCCCAAAACAATAGTCTCATTTCCATAAATAACTATATCACTATAAAACTACAATTACTTTTTCATTATTGTTACACAATTGTCACTACTTTTTACAATAATACACTCCTAAGGGCAAAAAAGTTACTTTTTAGCCATTGTCAATATAATATCAATATTCCTTAAATCGTTAAACACAACCCAGATTATAGTTTTGAGACGAAGGGAGTAATAGAAATGAAAAAATATGGATAATTTTATTGTGATATATTTATTTATGAAAATAAAGACAAAAAAAATAGTAAATAAATGTATTGTATTAAGACAAATAGAGTATCAAAATATTATATCCAAATTTAAACAAAAGCATAAGTTGTTCTTAATACAGAAGAATAGCTTCAAAAGAAAATGAATATATATTACACTTTCAAATTAAAATCAAAACATGTAAGAGTGTCTTTGTTTTGTAAAATAATTTTAAGGGTAATTGTTTTATATGAAATATGAAAAATTGTGTAAAAAATATAAAAATAATAAATATGTACTATGTGTTAATATTTTAAAAAAACATCACCCTTCGTTTTAAGTATTATGGGCTTTCATTTAATTGGGCCGTTCGGCCCATAGAAAATCTGTGACTGTGAGTACCGAAACTTGAAGCTCTGCAGCAATGACGGAAATGGGCAGTCTCCTGGAAGAAGTTAAAATTCATGGAACCGTGGACGTTCAGGAATTTCCTTTTCTGTTTGCGCACTAAAATCCATTTACTCGTTTACTTTACCTTCACGATCGGGAATTGGCTATTGCTGCATTTCAATTTTTCGAATTTGAGCGTTCGAATCAGTATAGAAGTTGATTGGTGTTGATCTCTTGAAATTGCTCGTACTTGATTTTTTTTGCGGGAAGTTTTGATTTGGTTATTTGTTCGGATCGGAAGAATTCGAATCGGCGAGGGAATTTTTTTAAGAATTAAAGCAAATGCAGAGCAAGGGATCGAGTGCGCGATTCACTGGACTGGCGATTCGGTCCCGAATTTCAACTCTGATGTTTTCCATGTTCGCGACTTTTGCTTCGCTATACGTCGCCGGACGGTTAGTTTCCGTATCCGTTTTTTTGCGCAGTTTTTGTAAATTTGGTTCTCGGAATTTTCTTTATTTGTTTCAGTTGAATTTCTGAGGTTTATATATATACGTTTGTGTTTGTGCTTATGATTATTGTTTAGTAAATTGTTTAAGACACGAAATCCTCGTTGAAGATTGATTTCTGGAGCTGGATTTCGGCTAACTAACCATCACACTTGGTGAATTCTCATTCGGCAACGTGTTTTCAGATTTCACAAATTTGGAAAATGAGAATGGCGTGAATAAGGATTTTGAAATCAGATTTTGTGATATTATATATCTAATTTGGTTTAAGCAAAAAAAGGTCATTTTGGATAAGTTTCAAAGCTTAAACTATCTTGAATTTGATTGTGTTTGTGTTTGTGTTTGTGTTTGTCCTTCCATAATTTGGAAGAAAAAGAATAGAGAATCTATCAAATTGAAAATGGAGAAGGAGATTAGAAGTTTGAATATGATATGTTGAATTTGGGATGCAGATTGTGGCAGGATGCAGAGAACAGGGTTTACTTAGTTAAGGAGCTCGACCGAATAACCGGCCAGGTAACTATATATTTGATTCTTGAAGATTTTTGTTCATTCCCAGATAATGTAATGTAAACCGCCGATCCTTTTTTATGCCTTTATTGAGATTTTTATCTTATTCTGTTTTAACTTTGCTTTTTGGAAAATTTCTTCAATTATTTGGCTGGCATGGAAGATAAATCGATGGTGTTTTACCATTTCTGATGCAAGTTGCAAAGTTGTTGAATAATGTTTATATCTTTATATCCGTAAGCATTTTGTAATTTTTGTTCATTGAATTACTGAAAATGTATTTTATAAGTTGAAGAAGTTACGTCAGTTTTCTTTCACTTTTTGCCTGAAATATACGAGGAAAGTTGTAGCTTTTCGTTACATTGGCATGTAAGCTCTATGTGTAGATTGTCGAATAAGTAACTAAATTTAAAAAAAAAAAAAACATAACATTATGGCAGATTTCGTTTCTCTATTCTGTTGTTAATGAATCGAATATCAAAACAGGTGAGTTGTTAAGAGTTTAAATGAAAGAGTTTCTTAGAACTATTTCGAAATTTCTTCTGAAGACTTCTTGTTTTGTCATTGATCATGAAAATAATTTGCACCCTTTTTGTTAATAGACTTTTGAATGTTGCATCGGGCCTCCTGCATCGAAAGGGACGTGTTAATATTTTTGTTCAAACTTAGGGGAGAATCCGGAAATGCAATAGTTTCATATTGCATTATCTGTCAATGGTTTTGTTATATTTTGTATGCTCATAGGTAATTATAACCCGTTGCCATCGTCATGACTTATTTTCTTTTATCTTTTAATGGTTAGGGAAAATCCGTGATGACAGTAGATGAGTCGTGGAAAATCATAGATTGCAGGTGATGCCAACTTTTCTTCTTTTTTTTTTCTTTTTGCACAAGGCAGTATTTTTGTTACTTATTTTTCACCGTCCAATATCTATTGAATTCCATGCATATTAGGGAACGGTTAAAGAAACTATCAGAATTAGAGATGGAACTTGCAGCTGCACGGCAAGAGGGTTTTCAATCAAAGCTTTTATCCGAGTACAATAAAAATTCTAAACGACGTCCACTTGTAGTGATAGGAATATTCACAGGGTTTGATCGTAAAAGCCACAGAGATGCCATACGGAAAGCATGGATGGGAACTGGTAAATTGTTAGTTTTCATTGTAAAGGACAGTCACATTTTTACGACTTTTTGATAGTCCTCCTTGAATCTGTCGATGAAGTTGGGCCCGTTTTTCCTATCTGTTTCGAGTACGTACAGGTAAAACTTTGACTAAGCTGGAGGAACAGAAGGGTATCGTCATTCGTTTTGTAATTGGCAGAAGGTATAATTCGCATCTATCTCACGCTAGTTTCTTAGTCATAGCAGATTGTTTTAATTTTTTGCTTAATAAATATTATGTAAATGTTGCAGTCCTAATCGGGGAGACAGCTTTGATCGGAGCATCGATAATGAAAACAGGCAAACTCATGATCTTTTTATTCTTGTAAGTTCATTATCTTCACTATCTCGCCATAGAGGTTCTTGATTCTGGGTCATGAAAATTCATTGTTTGCAGTTTCTTCGGTATTCTTATAACACTATATTTGAAAATTTTTCTTGCAACTATATTCCCTGTCAGGAAGACCATGTAGAGGCTCCCGAAGAACTACCAAAAAAGACGAAACTATTCTTCGCCCATGCCGCAGAATTTTGGGATTCAGACTACTTTGCAAAAGTCAACGACGATGTATATTTAAATGTTGGTAGGTGCAAAGATTATGGTTTCCCGAGATTTATTTTTCACGGTTGATTATTATTTTACAGCTCTTTAATTTATTACAACACGAAATACCAAATGACGTACATATATATATATGTCTATCTATTCTTTTCAGATGGTTTGAGCAATATTCTGAGTGCTCATTTCAACAAACCACGCGCATACATCGGGTGCATGAAATCAGGCGAAGTTTTCTCCGAAAAGTGAGTCTGGCCAAACGCTAACGACGCAACGAGTTTAAAATATATCGTTTATTATGAAGTTAGTATTAAGCTTTGTATCTTGGCAGGGGTCAGAAATGGTACGAACCAGAATGGTGGAAATTCGGGGACGGTAAAAAGTAAGCACATCGAATCTTCCTAAGAATAGCCTCTTTATTCCATCGATGTTATGCATTGACAGTCGATGTTTTCCGCAAAACAGTTACTTCCGCCATGCTTCAGGCGAGATATTCGTCATATCGCAGGCTCTGGCGAAGTTCGTATCGATCAACAGGTGCGACTTTCGACTTTCTACTACCTCATTCACATCCATCCGTCTGACTTTTGACTCGCTTTTAATAGATCCATTCTTCGCGTATATGCCCACGACGATGTCAGCGTTGGCTCATGGTTTATCGGGGCAGATGTCAACCATGTCGATGAGAGGAAGTTTTGCTGCTCATCTTGGTCCTCAGGTACCCCCTCCCCCCACCCCCCCTATCCACTCCACCCCGCCCCACCAAATCATACTGGGTGTGTTTCTTTTCGGTTAATTTCTCAAATTTTTATTATTTGGATTTCACGTTTTAAAAAAAATAGTACTATTTTTTTAGTTCATTTTCTAATTCTATCATTTTAGGACTTTAAAAGTATTTTTTTTTTTTTGTAAAAATGATCATTCGGCGTCTGATTATTCACCATGTTGGTCCGCCATTGTTGATGTGGCGCTGACGCAGATGACATGTCATCGTCACGTCAGTGACACGTCGGAGGTGGACTATTTTAGCAAAAATTTTTTTACTTGCGAGACTATTTTCAGACAGAGTACAGTTAAAGTCCTAAAATAATAAAATGGTCAGATACAAGACAACAATATTTTATAAAAAAAAATATACACTGTATATTTTTTCTATCATAAAATATCACATAAATCAAAGACACTGTGATTTGTTTTAGGTGCTATATGTTCGGGCGTATGATCTTCTCGTTGAGGGCTTGCGCCGGGGAGACTGTAAGGAACCCGAGTTTCTTGACAATGCTAACAGATCCATTGCACATATGGGCGAGTTTATTTCAAGAGGCAGGTATTCTTTTCACCGTCACCCGCTCGACACTTTTTATACATTTACACACACATACGAGAGAGTATGTTATAGAGAATTATGATGTTGCACGTAGAAGCGAAATCATAGGAAGAAATTCGAGCGAGGTGAAGGTAGATCGATCATTCAAACGTTTACTCCCGTAGTTTCTAAAAATTGAATCTAACCACATTTTTATCTTTAGTTCGCTTTACTATTCCCTCTTGAATTTGCCTAGAATTGTATCGTTCTTGGCTCGACTCTGAATGGATCGAGTCGAAACGAGTTTTGTGTTTAACAAGTCTAACTTGATTTGATTTATATGAATAAATCGAGTCGAATTGAGGTTTACTTTATTAAATCGAATTTGAGTTAGATTTTAGTTGGCTTATGCTCCAGGTTCTTTCTATACACGAACTAGTTGGAGCTCCTCAATTAGGAAACTTTTGTTAACGCGACGTTGTGATATCGGAACACGGGCTATGCGATTCACCAACACGGCCGTTTTCTCACTAGACAATGTTAATGGGTTCATCTACGTTCGGTCCAGCATTTAAATACTTCTTGAGGATTTCTTTTTAACTCAATTTTCATATTTAATACTATAGTTTAATCCACTCACATTCGGTCTTCAACAAATAATTTATACTGTTTAAAGTATTAAAATTTCCAATATACTATTTGATCAAAATTGAATTTTACCATATAATTCCAAAATAATACTTATAATAAATTCATTATTCAAGGAAAAATATCATTCCATATATTTATTTACAAATTTATAATTTTGTTTAGACGATATTTTTAATAGATTTAAAAAACAATTAAAATTTAGTATTTGATTTAATGTTTTTTGTTAAAAAATAAATTAATTTAATATTTTCGAAAATATCTAAATAGTGCATAATTTACAAAATTGGAATCTAAACATAAGTGATTGGAAGCTTTCAAAAAAACTCCTAAAGCAAATTCATAGTTCCATTATTTAGAAATTTAATTTTACATTTTCTAAATAAAAATATCAAACAAAATAAATGTTCAAATAAAAAAGTAACAAACATGCAAAATATAACTTTAAACAAAAACATGAAATTTTGAAATTTTTTATAAATAGTAAAAAATAAAATATTTAATTTAATTTCTTGTAAGACAAAATATGTACTTAATGTTGTATTTTTTTAATTTTTTTTAATAGTAATAAATAATATTAAATTTTTCAGAAAAAAAAAAAAAAACCTATAATAAAAATGCATAAACAGATCAATACGTGGGCCTTCCTTATTATTTTTTCTTGTTTTTCCCTTTGTTGGGCTTCATTGATAGTTGAGACTTTACGTACACGAAAATTCTACTTCGTTGCTTAGAATCGCTCTATCCTTCTTCACCCGTCTTTCTTCTTCCATAAGATTTTACATATTGTCTGTAATTCAGTGCTACGATCATTGTTTGATTTTCAATCCGAATCACAATTTGTTGTTGCGATCGAGCAGGGTGATTGATGATATGGAATATGATTTCAGAAGACGAACTGGATCGTCGTATGAATCCGCCGCACCGTTGCCCGGCCGGCGACCGAACTCCGACTTCCGTCAAGCGCACTCGCTGTACCCTGACATAGGCGGCACCGCCACGCCTCGGAACCCTAATCTCCACCGCCATCCGCCTCCTCCTCCCAACTGTATGCCTCTACTCCCCTAACTGTTCTCGCATGTGTTTGAGTGCGTCCTGTTGTTTGATATCATGTTATGTATTTTTTGTTTGATAATCGCAGCTGGATTGGGAATTAGGGTTACTGTGAAGCCGGAACACCGTATTACGCCGCCGGTATGCGTTTCTGTTTTATTAATTCGATTGAAATTGCTGGATGTGTTCTTGGGATTTCTATTGGTGCTCACCTGATTCAAAATTGTGGTTGATTCTGTAGCCTCCTCTGTTGCCGGAACTAGGAGAGATTCCGAGAAGTAATTTCCGGTTCGATTTCGATTTCGAGAGGAATGTTTTGGTCGAGGCAGTGAAGGAAAGCCCTAACTGGAGCAGGATTGGGATCGAAATTGTTCCTCCGAAAGCAGCTTCACGCGTACGTAATGATTTCTTCATTCTAACCTCTACACTAACACTACCTTTGATCAGCAATTCCTGGTTAATGTAATTTTTACATATTATTAATGACGAAAACTCCATAGACTTGAAGTAGGATTGAAGTTAGATTTAGAAGTGGCAATTTCAACAAGATTAGGGTCGGAAACATTAGCTTTCAAGTTGGATGTATTTGGAGAAACATGACTCTAATAATACTTCCGACCTGCTCTAAGGATCATATTTACTTTACTTTTACTTTTTCGCATTGATATTTGAATATTAATTATTATATCAAAACGCAGTACAAATAAAGGAAAAATAGAAAAAATATTTTATTAGTGTGTTATAATGCTACTATAATGACATTTGTACAAAAAAAATTTATATATATACAAATATAAGAATATTTTTAATATTAAATACAATTATGCAAAAGGTAAATGTAACCCTTAGAGGCGATCGGAGAGAGTACTATATTACATTTTGTAGAATTTCAGAGTTGCATATATGTAATAATGAAATTAGGGGCCTATATATATAGGTATGATATACACTTGGATAGAATTAATTAATAACAATCTAATTCAAATAATAGGAATATAATTTAAATCACAAGCCAAATATCTAAAAAATCTCATAATCAATTCTAATTTTGATTTTCGCTTGGATATATGATTCAAGCATCCCCTCAATTCAATGGAATCATTGCTAGACTAACATCTTCTTCTGTTTGTGGATTGATGCTTGATGTTTCTTGAAACTGTTTATCGAATGCAGGGTCCGAGAACTGATCCGGTAGCTAGTAAATTCATTGCAGCTGGTTTAAATAGTGAGGCTGTGCCACTTGCAGTTGCTAACTATGGAGACAATCCCACTAAGGTAATATATCTTGCACTCTGTTTGCATCGTCGGTTTTAAACTTCATATTGATATACAATTCTTCTGCTAATTATAAATGGAGGAAGAAGGATGTGGTAGAATAATTTGTCTTGCCTTGCTCTTCACCCGCTGAACTTTCTTATCAATCTTACAATTCTGTAATTAAAAAAAAGGGTCGTTCTTCTATAAGTTGTTATATTATCTCAAAACTATTGGGAATGTGCATATTGTATTTTAGGGTGAGTGTATATATATTCTCTGACAATTTGCAGAATTGAGTATTCCCTAAGTTTTTTATTTGAATTTTGATATAAACAGTATTTTGATGTGATGTGATCTAAGAGGGGACAGTGTATTTTGGGGCAAGAATGAAACAAATCCTATATAAACCACAATCGTGTTGCGTTTATATGCAATTGAAAGAATAAAACAAAGGGTAGCGAGAGGGGTGGTTCGACTGCAACTTGTTATATATCTCGATACTATTGGCAACGTGCATTTTGTATCCAACTATCTAAACCACATCATAACATTTATATGTAGTAACAAAAAGAAAACAAACGGTAGTGACAGGGGTTGTTTGTCATTAATGTTTTAAATTATCACAAATATATTGTATTTTAGAGTGCTTGTATATATATTCTCTAACATGTGAGCATGGGATATCACTAAACAAGCAACTATTACGTTTCGCATAGATGCAGTAATAGAGAGAAAAAAAGGGTAGTGAGCAAGTGGTTCGCTCGTAACTTGCTACAGTATTGCGATGATGTTGGGAATATGCATATGTTATGATGATTGTGTATATTCTTTAACAATTTGCAGAATCGATATATCGCTATATAAACAAGTAAAGAATCGCTCTATCTGTTTTCAGGTTAAGGAATTTGCCAACGGATATTCTCTTTTACGGGAAATGGGTTTCTCATCGAACAACGTTGCAGAAGCCTTGCTCATGTATGACAACGACACGGACAAGGCGTTGGCGCATTTTCTCAACACTGCATAAAAAAAAAAAAAGAAAAAGAAAAACGGTATTATTGAAAATTATGTCGTATTAAGTTTTTTGTGTAGTCTATGAATATTTGATTGGGGTATGAGGATGTACGCCAAGGAATGTCATTTTTTTCCTGTCTGTTGCCATTCCTTGCATACGATCTTCGATCTTAGTTATGCCCCTCGCTAGTTGTATATACGATGTTATGTATAATACTCACTATCAAATATTTCCTCGCTCAAATTAGCGTGCATTCTCGTTGAGTTTTCTATGTACTTCTTCGCCTTTATTCATTTGTTAATTTTAGGAGATTACATGTTGAATCGAGTTTGTTATTAGAATGTCAAATTTGGGGAACAGGAGAATTCATCGGTGCCGTATATTGTATTCGATATTTATAGTTCACTGGCGAATGAAAACTGTACACATCACGAATCTGTCGACATCTCTAGAACTCTCTACAAGTTAAAGAGATGATCGCCTGCACCAAAAATAGCGGCATTGAACTGCCGTACATTAAGATCTCCTCCTTCGAGAGCAGATCCGAACCGGTCCAGCCACTGTACTGGTGGCTGCGTTTCGGTCTCCTCGACCCACTCCGAACTCATGTCTATGTCGTCCAGCTGTAGGGGGTCGATTTCTGAACCGTTCATCTTCAGGGATCGCTCGAGTCTGAGATTGTAGTTAACGTAAAGTAAGTCATTCAACATTTCCTTATCGATCCTATTGTGTTTCTCCGAATGGATCTGTTGTAACGCGCTCCATTGTTTCTCAGTTGTGAAGCTGCTGCTGCACACTTGGCTGAGTATTTGGATCGCCACTCGTTGCAACGTCGGCGCAGCATCGCCAAATTGTTCCCACCAAATACCTACACGTGTATACGGTAATACTTTTTTTTTTTTTTTTATGTCGACCGAAAGTTTTATGTTTGCAGGTGTGATCGAGAGTACACTTACCGGGAGAAACAGTGTCGATCGCCTCTTTCGCAAGGTTACACCCGAACATTCCACTCCCCCGTGTGAACAGAAGGATTTGGCTCGTGATATCGCGTCTGAGCTCGGGCGTTGGAAGAAGCTTCTCAAGAACGCGGTAGAACTCTTCCTTAATCGACCCGAGGAACTTGATCTCCGGATTGTACTGAATGCTCGGGTTGAGAAAAGCCGCGGCCGAATGGAGCGGAGAATGGAGGCTGTTCTTCCACTTGGTATCCACAATGTCGAGGAACGTCTTGCATTTGATCTCGTCCATGATGTAGTAAGTCCTTATCGACTCTTTCGCGCGCGTCATCATTTCGTAAACAAACCCGACTGCAGGCCGCCCTCCCGACACTTCTCTCATCACTTTCAGAAACGGCTCGGACACCGCCACGCATTCCTCTACAGCGTGCCAGAATCCGTTGTCTTCGAGAATGGCGACGCAGGTCGCGATCTGAGTCTTGTTGGCAACGATTGAATACTCGGGGCTCCCGAACATATGCTTCAGCCTGGATTTCTGCCTCAGCATAGATTGAAGTGTAAGGAAGTTAGAAACAGGCTTTGTAATGCCACTCCTTATGATGTCCTGCCCTGCAGTAGCCTTCTTCATCGCATCCAGCACAGGTGAATTGTTGTATACATACTTTGTAATAGCCTGTGCCTGTAATATACACCTGTTGATCCAATCTACCCTGCAGAAATCGTCGAGGATCGCGTTCATACACCGCGCCGCGCAAGGGGTGACGAAGACAGGCCCGTAATTCTGCTGAATATGGTTCGCCAACGCCGGGCAGTTGAGGTTGTCGTCCATGATGATTTGCACGACGTTCTCTTGGCCAAGATCTTGAACTACGGAATCGAACAGGTCGGATAAGTACTTCGTGTTCTTGTAGTACAGAGAGACGTCGACTGATCTGTGGAAGAACGATCTCGTCGGGGACGAAACGAGGAAATTTATCAGAGCCCTCGATTTGTTATCCGTCCATTTTTCTGCGACAACGGTGCAGCCCGTCAATGCCCACTCCCTCTCGGCTTCTTTCGACTGTGAGTTCACTTCGGACTTGATCCTTTCCAGCCATGTCGTCTTCAGAGAATCAGCAGACGGCGGTAAGAATCCGTTGCCGCACTTTCTAACCGCGTCGAGCATTTGCCTGTAGGATGAAGACCGTGCTACGCGGAAATCCAAATTGTTCTCGAAGAAGAAAAGCGCGACGCTCCGCTCCCCAATCTCGTCATTTCCGGGGGAAGATGTCAAAGATGTGATGGAGGAAAACACCTTAGGAATCGACTCGACTATGATCGGCGGCGCCTTCCCGTTGGAGCTTACGGATTTCGCCTGGTGAGGAACTTTTTGCCTCTTTATAAGTAATGTCTCCTTAACGTCGTCTTTTGTCGCGATGATTTCCCGTACTCGTTCCGTCACGTCGTCCCTTACTTTGGTGCAGGGATTCACTCCTTTGCTGGGAAGCCTGGACAGGTGATGCTTTAATCTGCTGATTCCGCCATTGAGGATTCTGTCACAAAATTTGCATCTCACTTTGTTGCCTTCTAATCTCTCTGCATATTCCCAGCAAACGTCTTTCTCTCTAACCATGGTGAAGAACATTCGCTGCCTATCTTACAGGATAGTACTTCACTGCACACACGAATTCAATTTCAATTTCATGAATGGAAATTTTGTACATAATCATTACAGAGAAGGAAGAATAAACTTCCAGATCGAATGACAATTCTACAAACCGGATCTCCCAAGAACGTGAGATGCAATAACAGGTGAATTCTTACTCAAAATCTTCGTAATTTTAGATTCAGTTAAAAGTGAATTATTACTCAAAATCTTCGGTTAATTTCAGCAAACGAATTCAATTTCATTTTCATCAATGGAATTCTTCTACAGGAATTACATAATCGTATCGGAGAAGGAAATTTCGCCAAATAAATCAGTTCCAGATCGAGTGAGAATTCTACCAACACATACATTGGTGGAAACACAAACCGGATTTACGAAGAGGCAGTAACAGGTGCATTCTTACTCAACATCTTTTTCATTCAACTTCAGATTCAGTTAAAAGTGAATTATTACTCAAAATCTTCGGTTAATTCCAGCTCTACATTGCCAGAACAACACACCGATCGGAATTCCAATGAACAGGAGGAGATTCAGTAAAAGGTGAGTTGTAATCTCAAATTATCATTTAATTTTACTGCTGCAGAATTCTTCAACAGTTACAAATTCTTTCAATTTCCTCAAACATACACGAACACACCTACACACAAAATAGTCAATCTCTACTTCTTCCCGAACATTTGATACTCTGCAATTGCATCGAATCTACGAATATAACCAAAAATATCATTATAATTTTCAGCAGGCAACTGTTTTTTCATTTTCTCTGGAAAAATCAATAAGAAAGGGATACGAGAAGCAGCGAGATTGACGAAATACAGATACGACGAAGACGAAGAAGAAATCCTTACTCAGCTGAGAAGCTCCAAGGCTCTTCGGATCTGTGGAGCGCATAGACTCGTCTGACTTCTCGCGATATTTTGAAGCTAAGTATTTCAGAAGCTTAAACTATCTATTTTTTATATACAGTATTTTAATATATTTTGTTAGTGATTTTATCTTGTCGTTTTTTTGCTCTTCAATAATGAGTGGTGACGATATATCGCGGGTTGATTGGACACGTGGCCCAATCAATTTGCGCCTCTTGGCCAGTTCCCTTCAATTGGTACAGCTGAGATAAAAATTAACGCTATATTTATGGACTAGTATTATAGTCAGGTAAAAATTAAGCATATTTTTGTATTAAGAATTTTGAAAATTTTGAGAATTTTGAAAATTTATGTATAGCAAAAAGCAAGGGGTTTTTTTTTGGTTATTTGTAAATATTTAGATATTTAGTATTCAAATTGAACTAAAAAAATACTCAAAATTTTGGCAATATTTGCAAAAAAATCTAAATCGAACTGAATTTAAAAATAAATATATAAAAAAATAACTATAATATCACATAATTAAAATTATTTTACAAATATTTTAAATTGAACCGAATTGAATTGTTAATATAAAATTTAAAATATATTAGAATAGTTGTTTTGTAGTACGTTACAAATAAATATTGATATAAAAATTTTTAGTATAATATAAAAAATAAAAAATAAGTACATATTTTATTTCATATTTTTTTAAATTTTTTTGGATATATATAAATCATAAAAAATCTAAGACAACTTTAAATAAATAGTCATACTATTTTAAATAGAAAAATATCACTAAATATAATATTTGTGTTTTGTAATTTTATATTGAAATCAATACTCTTTTTGTGTACATGATAAGTATATATTTTGTTATTGTTTAAATAAAAAATATTTATTTTTTTAATATGAATTCCACTGTAACATACATCGACAAATTTATATGAACATCCTTCTAATAATAATTTTACAAATCATAAGAGTAAACTAGTTTTAAAATACAAAATTATCACAAATTATTATTACAGTTATTTTATTATTTTGAAACAATAAAAGCAACTATAAAATACAAATAGACACCTATTTTGTTACTATATTATTGAGAAAATGTTTGTATACAATTGTATATTTAGAATTTGATTAGTTTCTTTACTAATATAAATAAATATATTTGTATTTTAGCGATTTAAAAATAGATATTTTGAAACTCTTTGATATTTTGAGTACGGGTAGGTCAAATAATATTAAATAAGGACGACCAAATGGATTAAATGCCTAGTTTATGAAATTATAGAGAAATTTTGCGCAATTTTATAAAATCATATTTAACTTTTATACAATTTTTTCGATTCTAAATTAATGTGTTATCCGTTATTCAAATCTATGTTATTTATTTTATTTTTTTATCCAGATGTCATAAAAATATTCTTATTTTTTTTACAAATAATATCAATTATTAAATTTTTTTATAAAATTTGTACCCAAGGAGTGAAATATTAAAGAGACTTAGTCAACAAAATCCAATATATAAAAACAATAAATAAATAAAAACATATCATTCCAGCTAAGTGCTTTGGTCATGTGTCATTTATGTAAATTGTAATTAAAGTAATTTACCAAAATTATAATAATAAATACTAATTATTTCAAGTAAAAAGTCAATGCCTACACCTCATACTCTAACCAAATAGATAAATGTCAAAAGTAACTAGCGTATAGATTAGATTAATTAATTACTCTGATTCAGTATATACTCTAACTAAAAGGAGTTAGTGAAACTTTTAGGGAAAAAAAAAAAAATTATATCAAAGTATATTTAAATAAAAATTTAATTCAATATCTAATTTCAAATAACAATATAACAAACTCCTAATTTCAATAAATAATAAAAATAATAAGTAATAAACACATTTCCACCGCTTTCAAAAGAAGTTTATAATGACAATAATAGAAAAATAAGTAATCATTTCCTCCAATCCCTCTGCAATTTTTAGTATATTCTCAACAGCTTCCGGCTCCACAAGTCCCAAACCAAAGATCCGTCCCATCAAAAACATCTAACGGCGCAAATTCCTCCCGGACCCAAACTCCCGGCACCGGCAACTTCCAAAATCCGCCATAACTATTGCCATTAACGTGGCTTGACAGTCAAACCCAGCCCACCACTTCCTTCCCACACCCCCAAAATCAATTTCTCTAATTCTGAGCAGAATCACTCACCCTATGAAATTGAATCTCCCTCAGCTGTAATCTCTACGCCACAGCACGTGGATTTCCCCCTCTTCCCGCGCCACTAAAATATACATACAATCGATACATACACACCCCCTCTAACCACTTCGAATCATTTACTCCCTCTCTGCCCCTTCACGTTTTTTTTCCCCAAATCATATTTCCCCTCCCGCAAGCTAAGAATCTCCTCTACCTTTCAGCTCTCTGTAATTATTTTGGGGGAAATTTCCACGCCGGCAGCTGCAAACCGCCGCATTTCCGCCGGAATCGCGTCTCCGGTGAGCGAATTTCTCCAATTTTCAGCTCTATTTGTCGATTTAATGCAAAAATTTGTCGAATGCAGCAAGGAACCCCATAAATTTGGGGCAAATTTTTCTTCAATAAAAAAAACCCTAATTATTGCAACACTCTTAGATCTTAGCTATTCAACCATGGCTGCATTTGTTTAAAAATTTTCTCTACTTTAATCGAAGATTGGGTATTAAATTCGGTAGTTCACCTAACCTTGTTTACAATATTCGAACAAATTTGACATAGAACAATAATTGCTGCACCTATACCTCTTTCTTTTCTTCAATGTTTAGATTATTTTGCATCGTTTACAGGGATTCGCCATGGAAGCTTCATTGTTTGAGGTATTAACATTTTAAGAAATCGAAAATGTCGATGTTAAGGATAATCTGTATTGTCATTTTAGCGTTGGGAGTGATCAGTGAGCCTGTTGAGGATAAACAGGCATTGCTCGAATTCATCAGCTACGTTAATCATTCGAGGAATTTGAATTGGGATTTTAGATCTTCAGCTTGTGATCAATGGACAGGAGTGACTTGCAATCATGATCATTCGAAAATTATAGCCGTTAGATTGCCCGGAGTCGGGTTCCGGGGAAGAATGCCGCCGAATACGATTAGTCGATTGTCGGGATTGCAGATCTTGAGCTTGAGATCCAATGGCTTTACGGGTCCTTTTCCTATGGACCTTTTGAATCTCGCGAATTTGACGGGACTTTATCTCGAATCGAATCGATTTCAGGGTCCCCTGCCGTTGGACTTTTCGAATTGGCGAAATCTCTCGGTGCTGAATTTGTCGAATAACGGTTTTAATGGGAGCGTTTCGCCGTTGATCGGGAATTTGACTCAGCTGACATTTCTTGATCTTTCGAAGAATTCGCTTTCCGGAGAGATTCCCGATTTCGACATCCCGAGTTTGCAAGTTTTGGATCTTTCGAACAACAATTTCTCCGGGACCGTTCCGCCGTCCCTTATGAGATTTCCGCGGTCCGTCTTTTCGGGCAACAATGTTTCGTTTTCGAATTCGTCGTCGTCGCCGCCTCCGGTTACGTCTCCTACCGTAACCGTGGGTAGAAAACATTCGAAGTTTAGTGAATCCGCGATTCTTGGCGTCGTAATTGGTAGTTGCACGGTGGCGTTTATTTCGATTGCATTGTTGTTGATTTGCGCCAATAGGAAGAGAAAGGGTCGAGACGGCGCGGCGACGAACGGTAAGAAGGAAAAGTCGACGAAAGGGAAGGCTTCCGATCGGCAGAACGGGAACGGGAACGGGAGGCTAACGTTTTTCGAAGGGTGTAATCTTGCATTCGATCTCGAGGACTTGTTGAGGGCTTCTGCGGAGGTGCTCGGGAAGGGCACGTTTGGGACTACATATAAGGCGGCGTTGGAAGACGCTACGACCGTTGCGGTGAAGAGATTGCGGGAGGTCGTCGTCGGGAGGAAGGATTTCGATCAGCAGATGGAGACCGTCGGGAATATTAGACACGATAACGTCGCTCCGTTGAGAGCTTATTACTATTCCAAGGACGAAAAACTTATGGTTTACGATTATTATCATAACGGAAGCTTGTCCGCATTGCTCCACGGTACGTCGAAACTTCTATACATTTGAATATGCGAGTTATGTTTATGTTCCCTTTAGACAGGAAGTTTGAGTTTTGAAAAAAAAAAATAGTAAAAAATTAGTACTCTGTCCACAAAAATTAGTAATTAAAAAGAACGATATAAAGTTAACGATATTTATTGTAATTAAGTGTTGAATGAAGAGTAATAATTAAATATTGACTTACTTTTTCAAATATAGTGTTCCCTCATAGTTCATAGTTACTGTAGATAAGACAAATTTAGGAGAGATATAATTAATAAATAATTAAAAATATATTATTAAAAATAATTATGATAAGTAATTGGTATAATTAAAATTTTAAAAGTTACAAATTTAAATTTTTAAAATATGATTAAAATATGTAATACTCTTTTAAAACAAGAGAGTGACATATGGGTTGGACGGACAAAAATAGTATGAGATTTAGTAATAAGGTAAATTTGAAGGAGGGGCGAAAAAGTAATATGAGAATAAAGTTGGCAGACGGAGTGAGTATTTGATAAGATACTTAGCTGAATAGTGCTATAGCGATTATCGTTTTGTCTACTTTTATTCGTGCAACAACTTTTGCAGCTAAACGAGGCGAAAACCGAATTCCTTTCGACTGGGAAACACGGATAAAAGTTGCGATGGGAGCGGCGCGGGGAATAGCTCATATCCACGCTCAAGGCGGCAAGAAACTCGTTCACGGAAACATAAAAGCGTCGAACATATTCATCAATGCGCAATTATCCGCGTGCGTATCCGATCTGGGTCTAGCAACGTTGATGAGCACAACGTCCTCGCAAGCGACGCGAGTGCCAGGATACCGAGCGCCGGAGGTGACAGACACCCGAAAAGCGTCGCAGGCATCGGACGTCTACAGCTTCGGAGTCGTCCTACTCGAGCTTCTAACGGGGAAGTCCCCCGTCCAGACGTCATCGGGAAACGGCGAAGTTGAGCTCGTCCATCTCGTGCGGTGGGTGCAATCCGTCGTGCGTGAGGAATGGACGGGCGAAGTTTTCGACGTCGAGCTGCTGCGGTACGCCAACATCGAGGAGGAAATGGTGGCGATGCTGCAGATCGGGCTGAGCTGCGTGTCGAGGATGCCGGAGCAGCGACCGAAAATGGCTGAAGTGGCGAGGATGCTCGATGACATCCGGAACGGCAGCGGGAGTCAGACGCATACATTGAACAGCCCGTCGGGTTTGACGCCGGCGGCGGCAGCTACACAGGTATGTGAGGCTGGACCGTCGACTTCTACGGTTGCTAATTGATTCGACCATCGTTGTCGTATTCTTACACTAGATTAAGAATTTCGGACATAGTTATCGAATATTGATTGCTGGGTTTCTTTCGGTGTTAAAGTAAAATGTGCGCTTTCTTATTGTTGTCGATCGGTTAAGTTTGCATTTTGCTTTTGTTGAGTCGGGCTTTGTTGCGGGTTGTTTAGCGATCTCTTGAACAACATGAAAATTCGACTCGATTTTTTTTTTTTTGAAATTATAGAAGTGCCTTTGTCGAAGCTTTTTGATATGATCGTAGGGTGTCGATTCGAGTTTTTGCCTAAAAATGAGTTTCGTTCTGAACCATTTTGATCGGTGCTGATTTGACTCGATCAACATATAAAAAAAAATGACATAAAATATATATTTTCAAATAATAGCACGTGTTGTATAGATAGGATGAAAGCAATATCGATATCAATATTGTGGGATTCTTGCAAATGTTATTAGGTAAGAAAATGACCGAGTCCTAAGGTATGTATTGTTTGTCTCTAAGCCTAACTATTTGGCAAAGTTTGAAATTGGGTGAGGTCTGAATTTTGTGATACTATTTATTAAAAAAATTATTTTGTATTATTAAATTAAATATTTATTTTTATTTACTATATCATTAATTTTTATTTTTTATTTTTCCTTTACGATTTTAATATGAAATCAATATTATTCACTTCGTATAACTTTTAATAAAATATTATTTTTCACAAAATATTACATTAAAATATTATTTAAACAAAAAATATAAATAAAACTCTTAGTTTGTTTGGGAGATTGGATTGGACTTATACTATTCATTCAATTTTTTCTCCCAAAAATATCAAATCAAACACCTATTTTTCATTTTTTATATTATACTAAAAATCAATTTTACATTCAAAACATCACATCATACAACTATTCAAATTCAAAATTTTTACTATTCAAATCCCAACTCGAAATCCAAACTCCCAAGCAAACACACAAACACATTACAAGAGTCAAACCTTTTTACTAGTATAATTTAGGCATGGTAAGATCTAAGTAATATATGGTTTAAGCCCAATGGGCCTAAGAACACCTATTGGCCCAATACATAAATGTTGGCCCATTAAAATGTGGGCTTAAAAGCATTAATGGGTTGAAAGTGGACGTACATGTACTACACCTATGTTTCTTTTAAATTAGAATTTGGATTTAAAATTTGATCACACTACAAATTAAAGTTGAAATGGTACGTATTTGACGTGATTTTTTTTTACTATTATATATTAAATTAAAAATAAGTGGTTATTTACTATTTTTTAAATATATTTATATATATATATATAATATGAGATCAAATTAACCTTAAAAGAATAGAACCACGAATTTTTATTGAATCACATAATATATTATGACTCTATTATTTATATGTTTACTATACAATTTCATGGCATAATTAAAAAAAATATATATATTTTTTTATACAAAATCTCAAGTCCAAACACTAATACATAATAAAAATCAGAATTTGCAAAAAAAATACCAGAAGAACATATCATATGCGGTTGCTGTGTTTTTGGAAAATTTCTTTTTGTTGTTTTTAAAATAATTAAAAAAATAAATTAAGGTTTGTTTGGTTTTGATTTTAAATTGATTTTTTAGTTATATATTCAATTAAATAATATTTGATGTGATATTTGGTAAAAAAATAATACTCTTCCGTGGCCACTAATAAATTTTTTATTTGATTTTTGCATATTAAAGTAAATTAATATTTTATAGATATACAGTATAATAAAATAATATAATATATTTTACCATTAAAAAATAATATAAAAAAGATAATAATAAAATAATAATAAATTCTAATATTTAGTTGAAAGATATTTTTTTTAAAAAAAAAAAAAACTTGTAAAATTTTAATTTGGACAAATTTAAATGAGAAATGAAAAGTTAATCATGTAGGTTGAATGAATGATTGATTTATTTATTATTGTTGGACAATGAAAGTTGGCATATTTTATTAATATTTTTTAATCAAATATCTACGATCGATCACTTTGCAAATAACAATTCAATCACTTTTAATATCAAACTTCAAGTGGTATCAGTCACATCTTACAAATTTAAAATAAACATTAAAAATATATATATATATATAATAATAATGATAATTATAAATAATAGTATTAGGACTTGTGTCTGAAAAAATATGATAAAATTATAAAATATAAGAGAACGAAAGTAAATAATATAATTGTGATGAAAAATAATTCAATAGTAAATAATAAAATTTATTTATTTATTTAATTTTTTAGTTTAAAACACATTCAATTGAGAAATATTAATTGATAAAAAGAAAATGATAAATCAAATAAAAACTAGTTTTAGTAAGTAAGAATCCATTGAAAAATATTGTTAGCAGGCTTGTTTTGTTTGAATAATTATTTAAATGTGACGCATGCGTGATTCTAAAAAATTATAAAAAATAAATTTTTAAATGATAAATTAGATGCTATGTAAAATTGAAATAATGTAATTAAATATAAATTTATTATATATAATTGAAATTAAAGATTATTTAATTACTGTAGTATTTTGATTTATATATCTTTGTATTACTTTTTCTTATAATATATTATCAAAGTACTACAGTAATTAAATATAAATATAAATTATATATAATTGCTATAAAAATATAATAATTATTATATATATAATTACATTTAAACTATTATTAAAAAATAAATTAAATATTAATTAAACTATTTACTCTATTTATAATTACTTTATTAATATATTTTTTTAATTATATTTTACCTAATTATTTATATTTATAGGATTAATTCTCCTAAAATTCTCAACTTCAAAATCATTTTTCTTGTCAGCCTCTGTTCATATAATTTTTTTATTTAGTTCCCTATTTATTCCACATATTCCCTATTTGTAATTATTACACATTTTTATCCATTTTATCCTCTAAATAACTTTTTATTCATATTTTTATCCACTAAATATAATCCAAAACTCTTAGGTAAATAATATTTAATTATATTTATTTGTTTATCTATGGAACAACTTTATTTATTTTATATAAATAAATTTTTGTATATAGAATCTATTTACTTATGACTCAATAATTTTTGCAGAATTTGTTACAATACATTAGTTTTTTATAATAGAAAAATATTTTTTCAAATAAAAATTCATTATTTTCAGCTTGTTTATTATAGTATTATTCATATTTATATTTAATTGAGATCAATATTTTTTTATAAATATTTTATATAATTATAATGTAAGAATTATGAGTACTTTTGTATTATATATATTTTATTATTATTATTATTATTTCTTGTAAATTATTATTTTTGTTGTTGTAATCTTTTATTTTATATTTAAATAATAAAAAATAAAAATAAATTATAAAAATTATAGTATAGTTGAAAAAAAAAAAGAAAAATAATAAAGAAATTAAATAAAGGTACTATTGAATTTTTATATGAATAGGGAGTGAGAAAGAATAAAATTGTAAAAATAAAAAATAGAAAAGATAAAATTAATATACAAGGGGTGCGTTCGTTTGTAGAATTTTAACAAAATTCTACTATTCATCCAATTTTTTCTCCCCAAAAACATCAAATCAAACACATATTTTTCATTTTTTATATTATACTAAAAATTAATTTTACATTTAAAACATCACATCAACACCTATTTATATCACATCATGCAACTATTCAAATTCAAAATTTTTACTATTCAAATCCCAACCCAAAATCCAAACCCCCAAACAAACACACCCAAAAGTAAATAAAAATATGAATTAATTAAGGAGATACGCGGAAGTTGGCCTTACGTCTATAAGCCTAATTTATCCAGGACACGGAGTGAATAGTAAAATGATTCTCCAATAATGATTATATATATATCATATAAAAGGCAAAAAGATAGCCGACTCATCATCATCAGCTTTCTTTCTATATAAATCTCATTTCCTAAAATTGCTAAAATCTCCTCCCTCTGCAATTTCAGTTCTCCTCGTCGTTCTGCGAAGCAATCAGTTTCTCCCGGAGCATTACTCGGGCAAGGGGATCCATTTGTTTTCCCCGCAGGTACAATTTTGATGATTTGTTGAGTGATTCAGATGTTTTCGCGTTTTGTTCTGTTTTGTTTTTGGAATTTTTTGCTTGTGCGAAGAGAGTAGATCTGGACTGATTTTCGGCGGATCGTAGGAATCGCTTATGGCTTCGAAGCGGATCTTGAAGGAGCTCAAGGATCTCCAAAAGGATCCCCCTACCTCTTGCAGTGCTGGTATATTATCAACATTTCATTAATATAGATAGATAGATATATATATAGTTTTAGGTTTTGTTGCTATTAAAAATGGTTTCGATTCACTTTGCTATGGAAACTTTTCTATGCTTGTTTAGTTACATGTTTTGGCTGTTACTAGTCTCTCGTTTTTACTGTAATTGGAATCTACCATTGTCTGCTAGTGGAAGCTTGGATTTCTGTCTGGATTTCTCGATCCCTGCTTTGTTTTATCTGTTGGGTTTATATTTATATATATATATATATTGTGGATGAAGCTGGATTTGGATTTCAACCTCGTTTTTAAAAAAACCATGTTTGATTTTCTAGTGCTCTGAATTTTTTCATTATTCAATAAATTTTACATATTCAGTCAGGACTCAGAAGTTTAATTTCTAAAATTAGGATGTTCTTAGCACAACACAGCATCAAAAACCTATTTTTGATTAAAATTAAAATTAAAATTCAAAACACCCCAAAACATGAACATATTCTCAGTTACTCTTTCTAATGTGTCTGCATTTCAGGTCCTGTTGCGGAGGATATGTTTCACTGGCAAGCGACGATCATGGGTCCTCCTGATAGTCCATATGCCGGTGGAGTTTTCCTTGTTACTATTCATTTTCCTCCGGACTATCCATTCAAGCCTCCTAAGGTACTTCACATATTTGATTATGATTGTAAGATTCAATTTAATATATAAACTCCATAACCTATGAAGATATCATCTGCCTATACTTGTATGTTCCAAGCCTTGATCATGATTGAACAATTCAATTTTATACTACCTCCATACTTTTCGGCATATGTTTTAACGTGGATGTTTAGTTACTTTTTGCCTCTAATAGTAAAAAAATATAAAAAAAGTGGTATGTTTTTTTATTACAAAAATGAGAACATTTTTTTGAGGACGTGTCCAAATTGCAAAGTGGAAATAGAATTGGACAATAGAGGGTATATAAACTTCAAAAACTTTTGAATGTGGCTTCATTTAGATAAGTTTTCTGTAGTTTCAAAAGTACTAAAAAATTAGTATTTAATGTGACTTTTATTTGAAAAGGTTACTGTCAATGAAACATCGTCAAAAGTTTCAAAAGAGTCCGTGTAAACATAGCTGCATCATTAACAATTCCTGTATGTAGCATTACTTTTCAGCATGGTTTGATTCTTAAGTTCGATTTTTATGTTACCAAATTTGCAGGTTGCTTTCAGGACTAAAGTGTTCCACCCAAATATTAACAGCAATGGAAGCATATGCCTCGACATATTGAAGGAGCAGTGGAGCCCTGCCCTGACTATTTCCAAGGTTCAATCGATTTGCTTCATTTTTATTTGAAGTAGTATCATACTACATGAATCATTTTCTTTTGTTCGATAGTATTTAACAATTCACTATTCTGAGGGATTCGAGATTTGCTTCTCCTAGGTACTGCTTTCCATTTGTTCATTGTTGACAGACCCGAACCCTGACGATCCTTTGGTGCCCGAGATTGCACATATGTATAAAACTGACCGTGCCAAGTATGAAAGCACTGCAAGGAGCTGGACTCAGAAGTATGCAATGGGGTAACTATGTTTGGTATGGATGACGAGGATTTTAAAAATCTAGTCGAATGAAATAGTGTTAGATCTATCTTTGACGTCCCAAATCTGGACCGGGGATAGATATATCCAAGATGGAAAGACGCGTGTTGCTTTAAGAATGTTTGTATTTGTGTAGTTTATGTTTGAAATACTTCATGCAATTTTCTTAATTGTTTTCATGCTGCCTTTTAAGCCGTAAAAGTTTCTGTGCGCTAATGAAATGTGACTGTTATTGGGGCTAATTGCGATGACTTACATTGTCTTTTTGCTAGCGAGTAGGAAAATTTAAATGATAAAGTTTCTCTGCTCACTTTTTCTTACTAAATACTCCTCTGTCCACCAAAAATAATTTTGGTGAGGGAGTACGCCTTTGAATCTTGTGGTTAGTATTGATTTAGATACTTTATTTGTTTCTTGTGTACTGAATATTGAGCTTGTTATTCTGTGTCTCGACAATCTCTTGTCGTTGTGTATTTGTGTTCTTTGATATTTTGAGAATCGTTTCGGGTAAGTGCACATCCTCGGGTGTGGAGCATGTTTGTTATATAGCTTTTTTTCTTAATTTTTTATTATGTGTGAACCCATAGTTGCTACTATATGTTCTCTCAGGGTAAATCTCTAGTTGCTAGCTTCCAAACTAGGTACAGCAAAGTAAGTCACCATAGGCGAACCATGTGTGACAGACAAGATTTGAAGGCTTCGAGTTTGAACCCATGATCTAACGGTCACAAGTTCATCGTTTATGTTTAGTTGTATTTTGATCAGATCCTTTTTGTTTAGTTTGATTTTGCTTCTTGTTATGGTTTTTGCTTTACATTTTTGCTTCTTATGTGTTTGATTGCTTCTGTGATAGCGTATTAGTCAAGAATATAGGCGATATCGTGGTGTCATAAGCGTACCCCTTCGACTAAAACCGGGGGCAAGAAGAACTATAGGTAAGTGTTATTTGGTCTTTTGACCCCCGATGTTGATTTTTTCGAATCAATATTGTAGTCGATCCGAGTTGAGTTGATCGTACTTGAATAAGCCAATGCCCTTGTTGTGAGGTGTGGCTGTTATCGGAGATTGTTCAATGAGAAGAAAAACATCGACAAGAGAAATCCGGAGAGTCTCCATAGGCGAGGTCAAGAAGAGTAAGCCAACACAGATCAAGGTTTTCATCATTTCATGCTTTCTTTTTATTGCAATTATAATTATAATTTTTATTAATTTTTTTCACAAAATATTATATTTAAATTATTGTTCAAATAAAAAAAATAAAATTAAAAAAAAAAAAGAAGTAAACACCCGTGTTCTTTTTACTAAATTTTTTCAATATATTCTTTTCTACAAAAGTAAAAAAGTACGGTTTTAAACCAGAAACCCAAAACAAACATATAAATATAAATAAATATATACATAATTAACATGAATAACTTTATAAAAAAAAATAGAAATAAATAGAAGTACATAATAGTATATAAAAATATACTCTCTCCATCCATTTAAAAAATATATATATATTTTTAGTTTGGGACATTCAATTGTTTTTTCAATTACAAATTAATTATTTCATTAAATACCTATTTTTTTTCCACAAATATCTTTTATTTTACATCACATCATTATTTTTATACTAAAAAATAAGGGTAAAAATTTTGTAATACTATTTTTACATGCCCACTATAATTAAAATATTATTATTTTTTAAATTCCGCGCCAAAAAATTTTGTATACTTCTTAAGTACGAGAGTATTACAAATGGATTTCATTTTTTAAAAAAATTTAGAAAATAGGAGTTGATGATATATGTAATGCCCGGTAAGGTTTTTTACTACTCTCTCCGTTCCATAACAAACTATCTATTGTTCTATTTTAGTCTGTCTCATAGTAAAGTATCCATCTTCGTTTTTTTTAGTAATTGTACTATCTATATAACGTCACAAATACCCTTACAACTTACAATATATTACATAAATATCATTACATTTATATCATACTGTACTAATAAGGTTATTTTAGTTATTTCTACTTACATTTCAATATAATATTAATATTTTTAAAATTATGTGAAAAAACAGGATACATGAAAGCAGAGGGAGTATTTGTTTTCTTTAAAAAAGATATTAAACGAAACTATTTCAATTCTTGCACCAACCTCTTACTATAATTAAAAAGTTTTATCCTTCACAATTTCAAACAAGCTCTCAATTCTTCAACAACTAAACACACTTTGTTCTGATAAGTGAACACGAACCTTATATTATTATTATTATTATTATTATTATTATTATTATTAAATAATAAATATATATATATATATAATTAATTATTCTAAAGAATGATGTCGTTGGATAAATTTGTATATTAAATTACAAGAATCTTTTTTTAGGCGGTGGCCTCCCGAAAATGATTGGCCTTCTTTCACGCCTCTAATTATTATTACTAATATGACGAGTTTGTTCATAGATTTCATTCTTCATATAAAATATATATCTCACTTTAGTAATTAATTCAAATGCCTTCATTTTTACATTGTTGGACTCACACTCAAGGTCTATAGAGTATGATCAAAAATGAAAAACAACCCGTAAGGAGTGGAGTGTTAGACTTGTGACCGCCTCGGTCACCTGCCACACATGTGCTTATATTAATATATAAAAATATGAGAAAATACTAAATATTGTAATATAAAAAATATGAATATATATATTTATGATAAGGAGAATGTCGGAAAGTAAAAGTGGAATGTTTGGGTTGCCTTTAGACTCTTCATAAATAAAATAATAAATAAATAAATAGATAGATAGATAGATAGATAGGCACAAATTAGAAGAACGCCTTTTCCTTTTCCTTAAAGATTTCCTAACCGAAATCCGACGGAAATTTCACTGTTAATGCTGCTTTTCATTTTTGTAATTACTTTTATTTATTTAAAATACAAAATCAAACCATTTAGGCTTTTAAACAGTAATACACATGCGTTCAGACAGGGACATTAGAAAAATAAATAGGTTGATTATGGAGGCGTAGTCGTGTGCACTGCACGTGACACGACACTAACACTCTCTCCCCTATTACTGTCTACTTTTTGGGACTAAATCATATATACTCGTTTAATTTTTGTATTAATATTATATGTAAGTGTAAAGTTTTTTATTTTACCATTGATATTAATGGTGATGAAAGAATAATAACAAAAAATATTTAATTGAAATATATTTTTACTATAAACAAAAGAAGAAAAAAAATACATTTGATTTAGACAGATAAAAAAAGACAAAATTGATATATATGACTCCAATAAAGGAAATATAATTCCTTCATACTTTGTCTCATTTTTCTTAATTTTTTATTTTATTTTTTAAATTGAGGTATTTTAAAAATACCTCAATTATTGATACATATGACTATCATTCATTCCTACATTGTGTCATTTTTCTTATTTTTTTAAAAAATTTCAGTTAAATTAAAAAAATAATAATAAAAAAAATCATTTTTAAAAATAATATTCCTACCTTAAACTTGGTAAGTATTCATTCCATAGTCAAAATGTGTACTCAAATATTTAGACACAAAATTTAATAAAAGTGAATAATAATAATAATTTTTTATCTTTTATAATAAGAAAATACAAAAAAAGTAATGTATTTTTTGCTAAAAAATGAGAATAGTTTTATGACAATCCAAGAAAAAAAATTGATCAATTAATTTTTAAGTTATGTCTTAAATTATTATTTTTAATAAAATAAATAAATAAATAATGATCAGTAATTTGTTTCACATTATACACTTATTTGCAAACAATGTCATCCTTTGAATGAAAGAAAATGTTTTATACATATTTTAATATAATACAATAAAATTTCACAATAGATAAAATATGAAACATTTATGAGAGATTGATACGATGCAATTTATCTTAATAATAATAATAATAATAATAATAATAATAATAATAATAATAATAATAATGATAATGATATTGGTGTATGGAATACATAGACATATAAATGCAAGTTCTAGTGGATGGTGAAACGTAAGAATTAATTAATTCAATATTGATGACTCTAGCTACCTATACCTACCCATCATATTTATTTTAATATTGAAAAAAAAAATATTTCTATTTATATGGATATTTTATTTTTTTTAAAAAAAAAATTCATTTGACATTATTAACTAAGAATACATATTTAAACAAAAAAAACGGTTCATATTAATTTTTCTTATAAAATATTTCATAAATCAAATTTTAACTTTTGCCAATTTTTTTTTTTTTTTTTTTTAAAGAAATTATTCAAACGAAATTTATATTATTGGCCATATATTTTTGCGGAAGATTTGAAGAAACGAAAAACCTCGATTTAATTACAAGGATATATTTAGACAAATTAATTAGGAGCTAACAAGCTATGATATGATCGGAAGACCGGCCAAAACTTCTTATCATGTCCTGAAAATAATCATCGTCCACGTCAAGCGAATCCAACGGCGGACAATTCTCCGTGCACATCGCCGTGATTTCATCGTAGCCGTCCAATAACAACGGCTCGTCTTCTCCCTCAAAATTCAAGAAGCTTTCCACAAACGGAATGTCCATAGGCAAATACTCCTTCGAGTAATCCGGCGTCGTTTTGCAGCTTCTCTCATCCGGTTCGAAGCTCGACCGCTCCACAACACATTCCGGTTCGGACCTGCTCGGTTCGGCAAAATCGTCGGCGTTTCTGAAACGGAGAACAGACGTCGGAGAAGAAAGCTCGTGCGTTTCATCGCCGGAATCGTAGCCGGAAAATGACGACTGGTTCGTCTCCGGCGGGGTCGAGAAATTCGTCAGCGCGTCGGGTCCACGCAGCTTCACCGCCGCGTTGTCGTAAACCATCGCCGCCTCCTCCGCCGTGTCGTAGGTCCCAAGCCAAAGCCTGACTCTTCTAGAAGGATCTCGAATCTCCGCCGCCCATTTGCCCCACGGACGTTGCCGCACTCCTCTGAACTTCCTGCCGCCGCCGCCGCCCTGACCAACCGCCGCCGCCGATTTTTTTCCCTTGATTGGCTTCGACTTCGGCCGGTGGTCCTCTACAGTGACGTTCCTGCAATTGCTACAGTTACTACTGATAGCCGCCTCCATTCTAATCTCACTCACGTACTTCTTGACACGTGTCCGCCGGAAAATCCCGCCGCCGTCGTCGCTCGACGAATCCGTTGCGTCGGGATCCGTAACGGAAATACGGACAGTCTTAAAACGACGCCGGCGCCGGCAATTTTCGGACAGCTCTTTAAGGGCGTGTTTGGATGAACTCAAAATAAATTTTTTCGTAAAATTTATACCTCGATCCTCCATTATTACAATAATCGTCAAACGTCAAATACTTGTACTAAACCATACACGAACTTAAAGAGAGGTTTCTTCGAATAAGGAACTGTAAAAAAAAAAGCACCGAAACAACCGCAGAGAGAATCAATACCAAATGAACAGCCTCAAAAGATGGGAAGAAATTGAAAGCCTTTTGTGGGGAGCGTTCGTTCATCTCAAGGCTTTATAGGGACACTGAAGCAGACTATTTTTAGTAAGCCCTTTGTAATAATGATAATAGATATAATTTCCCAATTTGTTTATTTAAGATTCTGATGACAATAATTTTATTTTATTTTATTTTATTTTTGTTTCAGCAGCCAAACACAATATTAAGACACACCACACCGTCCGGAACAAAGTTCACTCACGTGGCAATAGCTTTGAGGGACACGTGGCATTTCGTGGGGCCCACAGTGAATAGGTCCAATGAGTGCCTACGAAATGGTGCTGAGTCAACTGCGCTCAACGCATGTGGGAACGGTCGTCTTTGTTTTTAATTTTTTAAGAAAATAATAATTCTTGGAGTACGCGTGGGAGGAGTGGCCAGTCACGTGAGTGCTGGTCCTGCTGGATGCTATGCCATGCCAATTTAAATAAATAAATAAATAAAATTAGAATTATTTACCGCTTTGACCGTATAAAAGAGTGAGTCAAAGGTAATTATTTCTTACTACCTAATTAAAATAATTAATTAATTGTTTTAATTACAGCTAGGAACCACGTGGCGGGCAACCTGGGATGTGGCGCCATATACAATTCCGGTTCGTACGGTTCTCTGGGTTTTACCTTGATTTCTAGTATTTACATTTTCCGAGGAATGTTCGGAAACGCGTATAACGGGCGCGTGTTGTCCACGCTCCGAGTATTGTGGCTGATGCCCTTGGCGTTTGTGCTTTACTCGCCGGAGCGGCGGCTGGGAATGGTGGGATACGCTGTACGATTAACCGCACACATCGGCACATGTTAACTGTAGAGGAGGTTCCTCAGTTGGGTGGGATAATTACCTAATTTGGGTGGATCGTGCTCATCACTTGCTCAATTTTCCGTTCAATTAGCCAATGTCTGCTTAACCTTTTTATAAATATTATTAAAGAAAATGTAAATAAATATATATTATTTATTCATAAAAAAATTAATTATTTAATAAAAAATATTATTTTTATATTATCAACACAATTTTTTCATTCCACACGCAAAATCAACTTATCTAAATAGTTGACCTTTTTTCTTTGGAATTTATAACGGAAAAAAATATGAAAAATATTTATATTTTTATTACTTAATAAAACATTAATTTTAATTTTAATTTATTAGAAAAATAAAAAATATATATTCAATCTAAGAGAAGAAAGTACTAAACAAGAAAGTAAAACCTATAAGAAGTAAAGAAACACAACCTTAAGATTTAGATGTTAAAAGGGAAAAAAAACAATTAATGTTAAGAACCCTAGAAATGGTAGATTTCTTGAAAAATGGTGTAAAACCTAAATGGAATAAAATATATACATAGTAATAATTAAGACTTCGTTTAAATAAAAGTTTTTGAAGATTTTTGAAAATTTTAAAAAAATAAAAAATTAATATTTAATTTGATATTTTGTTAAAAAAAATATATTTGATATAATATCATTTAAAAATGACTAGTATTAAATGAGTGAAAATTGATTACATAAACCATTCCATATTATAAACCAATCCTATGTTTTTGCATTAATCTCCCAATAATTACTCAAATTTACGTTTTGGATGACTCACTAGTCACTGCATTACATTAATTGTGAGTGTTGATGGAAAAATAAATGGACATTAATACTATTAATTATATTATGATTTAAAGTCGCTGTTGATGAATAAATGAATTAATTCGGCAGAGTGAAACACGCTTTTATATTGAAATGTTTGTGCATGCATGATGTGTGTTTTAAGCAAGAAATGCTTGTCTTTTTCTTGACATACACAGAGGTAGAGCTGACAAAAACTGACCCAGACACAAAATAATTGGATTTGGGTCAAATATTTCAATTCGATTATGTGTACGGGTTGACACGAACCCGACACGATAGTAAACGGGTTAGATTGAGGCTCTCGACTCGAACCCGACACGATAACCCGATTATAATATATTAATATTGATTAATTCAAATCTGCTATATGATTTCTTGGTCCTTATGCATGCCACAAACAATGCATTGTTTATAGTAATACTACAATTGTAACAAATAAATTAAATTAACAGTATATGCTAATAGTTTATACAATATATACTATCACATAAATATTTATTTGCTAATATATCATAATACCTATAAAGTATAATTGTAAGCACATATTTTAAACTATCACAACGTGTGATATTTCAATTGAAAAAATAAGTAAAAAGACAATGGGGGTTTGTCACTTGATGTATTAGTTTCTTTGTGTGTTTATAAAATAATTATTTAATGCACTATTTCATTAAAAGAAAAAAATAATAATTAATTTTGTCTGTTCATTAAAAAATATGTTCGTTTTATTATTTTAATTTGTTGACACTTAATACCGTGAATTATTTTCTCTCCGAATATGTTGACACTTAACAATTTATGTATTTTTTGTATGGAAATGTTTGTCTAATTTTATTTTATTTTTCAAACATGATTTTCAATATATATATATATAATTTATTTCACAAAAATAAAAATTAATATAAAATTTATTTTTTATATTATCGATATAATATTTTATATCTTATATAAAAAAATTTCTTTAACTCAAAACAGTAAACAAACAAACCAAAATATAAAATTGAACTAAAAAAATAATAATATAAATGATTTATTTAGAGTAATTTTCTTTTTTAAAAAAAAGCCAAACCTAAAAAATAATTATCTTAGTCATTATTTATTTATTCTTTCAAAAAACATGATTAACTAGTAATTACCGTTTAAAATCTGTCACGTAACTTTTTCCGTGCCACCGTTTTGACTCCGGTGGCAACATGACGCCACGTGTCCGTACCACGTGGCTTGACTTTTATTAAATTGTTTTGACTCGGACATCCTTTTCGTTAAACCTAAGTAATGAAAATAAATGTAAAGTAGATACCACATGAATCTCTTAACATACTATTATAGGATCATATAATTTCATTTATTATAAATAAAAGTGCCTATATAAATTGTATTATTTTAAAATTTAGTTTTAATTAGAGAAAAAATAAAACAAGTCCTATTAAGATTAAAATTAATCAAATTTGATTTCATTAAAAAAAAATCATCAATTTTTATTCAAATATAACTAAATTTAATCAATTTTGGTCTCACTCTTTCAAAACTAAATGATTAAACTTTTCTTCTTTTTTTTTTTCTTCAAATCAAGAGAGATTTAAAGGAAAAAAAAAAAAAGTTTCAATAACCTAGAAACTAGATGAAGAATTGGATCAAGAAGTAATTGAAGGTTGGATATACAATCTATAATCCTCCCCAAGGAAGTTCAAATATCACATTAGTGATTAACACTCTGATATTGCAATATTACCGGGGTGTGTTCTTTTTATAAAAAAAAACTAATATATTTTTTGAAAAAAATAATATATTATATATATTTATTATTTTTATATTATTTACAGAATTAAAATGATTGAGAGCAAATTAGAGTTCATTATGTCTTGTCATTGAGTGGTTAAGACAGTGGAATTTCTTCTGAATTGATACGGTCAAAATAAGGTTTAGAAATCCGAACTAGATCAACATATCAACCTGTTAATTTTCTTGTGTACAAATATGATTTTCACATATTGTCTGAACAATCTCTAAATAATTATGTGAAATTCTGATCTGTATAATTGTTGAGGAAATGACTTAGGGCTCCATTTAGTAAAAAAGAAAAAAATGAAAATCTTTGAGGAATTTTAAAGTTTTAGAAATTTTTAAATAGTAAAAAATTAGTAGTATTTAATTTAATATTTTACGAGAGAAATTTATATATAATAATAGTATAAAAATATTCAAACTTGCTGGTAAACATATACTTGGAATAGGTAAAATCCCTAATTGACATTGTATATATTAATCAAATCCCAATATTTTCTATCGGCAAAACTTTGAATATATGAAGCTTAGGTGCGTTGCTTATTCCAAAGCGATTAGTGGTAAGAAAAAAATAAAAAATATATATATATATATATATAATATAAGATTATAAAAAGATATGTAATATATATAACGAGAGAGTAATGACAATGGCGGGCTGCCCCTGTCCGAATATTAAATGCAGGTAGCAGACAGACAGTAGATGCATTAATTATATCATTAATTGCCTCATCATTTCTTAATTATTGTATCCGATCCTATCTATCTATCGCCATCCATCCGCACGAAAATTACGGCGGCGGCGGCGTCGGCGTGGCAGCTGAGCCGACTGCCGGCCGGACTAGCCGAGCCACCGCAGCGTCTTCCGTTCACATATATTGTGTCCCTTTCTTACCTAATTTATCCCACTGTAGGTAACCTAATTTATCCGTATTCTATTTAATTATTTACTACATAATAAGGTGTGCTTCATCTAATAATTTTATGATATACGATTTTCAATTAATACATACACATTTGACTATATCACTATAAATAAATAAAAAATTGATCAAAGTTACGGGAAAAAAATTATAATTTTAATATAAATTGATGACTTTTTTTTACTAAGAAGTCATAAAAAAAAATGTACGAAGCTATTTTGGTGGAATTTCGATAGTGATTTTTTTTTTCTAAACTGAGATATTTTTGTAAAAATAAATTACAAAATAATATTGGCGCTTGTTGGTACATTCCACTACCATGGTGTGTTTGTTTAATAAAATAATATATTTTTATATAAAATATAAAAAATTGTGTAATTAATATAAAAATAATGAAGGTGAATAATGTATTAATTTTTTTTAAAAAAAATGTGTAAAATAGAAAAATAAAGAGAACACATGTCTGTGTGTTTGTTTGGGGGATTGGATTTTCAATCCACTATTCATCTCATTTTTTCCTCAAAAAATATCAAATCAAACATTTATTTTTAAAATTTTGATATTATACTAAAAATCAATTTTACATTCAAAACATCACATCAACACCTATTTATATCACATCATACAACTATTCAAATTTAAAATTTTTACTATTCAAATCTCAACTCAAAATCCAAACCCCCAAACAAACACACCCGTGTCTATGGTCATAACAGCCTAAAACAACCCTCAAAAGCCAAATATTTTATATTTAAACTATCAAATCCTTATAGATTAAGTGGTGAGATATTTTGCATGGGTAAAAAGAAAATTACAAACAAGGCCTACTTAATTTTTTAAAAAAATAAAAACAATTGTGTATATTTTAATTTTTAATAGTAATTGAATGAAATATTTTATAAAAATAAAAGATACTCTTTCGGTCTTTTATTTAACAAACTATCAATTTTTTCATTTTGATTAATTCAATAATAAAATATTAATTTCATTTTTAGTAATTATACTATCTGCTTAACATTACAAATATACTTACAATTTACAATATATTATACAAATGTTATTAATTTATATCACACAATATTAATAAAATTATTTTAGTTATTTTTATTTTAATCTTATTATATATCAATTTAGTACTAATATATGTTAAACTTTGTATAAAAAGCAAACATATGCTTACTTAAAGGGTTGAGAGAGTATATTAATAAACAGATGAAAAAAAAATCAAATTTTCAATGTTTGATTTTTATTTTTAATTTATATTTTATGAGAAAAAATTGATATTTATATAGCTAAAAAACTAAAATAAAACTTGAAAATAATACAGCCTCTTATTCCCAATAACGCAATTAATTCGTTTAGGATTTCTAGGCGATGCTCGATTATTTGTTTGTTTTTTTAATTTATGTAATAACACTGCTTTCTGACCTTCAATTTTTCTTTAATCTTTTTTATTTTTATTTTTTTTAAAAAATTTTTTGTTGGGCTGATATGTTTTATTAATTACAGAGTATTTGAAAATGACGTTTCCTTGCACCAACTGCTAGAAAGTTTTTAAATGCTGGGATTCTATTTATAATTATAATTTGTCTTGGATTCAATGCTGAATAATAATTCAATATGTTTTTGTTTCTAATTTATAATATATATTTATATTAATAGTAGCTTGATTGTATTTGTTATCCCAAAAAATATATATATATATATTATTTGGGCTTAAGAAATTATTAGTTTAATGAAAGAGAGAACAACTCAATTGTGATCAATTGTTGTAAGTGTGATTATTACTATACATTTGTCAACGTGGGTTAAAAAATTTTCAATCATATGGGCTTCTTTTTGGAGGAATTAGAGGGATTAAATTCTTAATTTAGATTAAATGCATTACCTAAACTTTTGATAATAAAGAAATTAGAGAAGGAGAAGAAAATTTAAAAAATTAAATAAATTGAAAAAAAATAAAAAGAAAATAAAATTTGATTGAAACATTGAAATATAAGTTACAATGAATACACCATCTCTAAATGGTGTTTATCAATCAACACACCTACTACTAATATATATATAAACTTCAAATTGAACTCTGAACTAGAGATCGAGTTCGAGCTTTGCGAGTCAAGCTCAAATTATATCATATTTTAATTCGATTTCAAATTCATATTTGAAATGAACTCAAATAGCATATACTCAGGAACTCATTTAGTTTATTTAACCGCTCTAATTACTATGTATTGATTAACAGCAATTTAGTACATCGTGTGTTGTTGGACAATACACAATATTATTATAGATACCACATTGTATAAACAACACTTGATATAGTCTCATACATTACACATAACAGTTAAATTTTAGCATATGACATACTTTTATACAATATGCTTGCAATTATAAACAAATAATATATACCTTTATTTCACATAACATATGCTATTGATATATATTGCAAATGATAATTTAGAAAATCAGCATCGTAATAACTGCAACCTTAAAAAAATAAACTAGTTTATGAAAGTGCTTGCCAAATGAAAAGATGATATGTCCTTTATTTTATGCCTCTATATTTGCACAATAAACTTATTATTGGGCTTGCCGATATATTTCAAATAGGCCCAAAATCCCTATAATTTTATACAAATGGACCTTATTTATTTGGGCCGACCCACTAACAAAACTCACATTTCGCTTGTTGTCCTTTTCAAATCATACTTGCATCATATTCGTATTATTCTTAGCTGATCACGTTTACAGTATCAAAAAAGAATGAACATTCCTATAAGCACCAGAAATTTCTTCAAAAAAAATTGGAGCAGATCGAAGAAATATACACGAAATGAACGACAGATAAATCAATTAAAGATGCAGATTCTTTCTTCGAAAGTTAATTTCGTTGTCTACATTTGAATCAGAGATAATCAGTTAAAAACAAAGAGTAGAAAATAAAAAATCTAGTGAATGATGTACGTGAGCACCAAAGCCAACAGCATCAGAAGGTACGCAATAGCTTGATCGATTGTTGTTCCTGAAATCAAAATTACAAAATATATACCAAAAAAAAAAATCACAAAATCACGATTCTGTTCCATTTTACTGCCTCAATCCGTTGATCGATGAAATAAAATACGAAAAAAACCATACGCATTTTCACTTACCGTCGCTGGTAGGGGAAGGTGCGGGGGCATCAACGGCGGAGGCTGTGGCCGTGGCGGCGGCAGACGCCAACAGCATCATGACGATAGCGGCGAGAATTCTGCCAAACAACATCTCCATATTTGGATCGGAAACTTTGTGATATTATTTGTGATTCTCCCCTCTGCGGTGGATGAATTTGAGCTGCTACGGTGGTGGAGCCGCCGCAGGGAGGGAGAGGAAGAGAGTGAATTTCGTCAATTTGTTACTGATATTCAAATTAGGGTTTGTTATGAATTGATTTGGGGGAAGGATTCCGTTATATATATATATAATATGTAGTGTATGTATATGTGTACGGACGAGAAAATGGATGGTGTAAAGAAGAAATAGGATATGCGTACATGTATATTTTCTCTTTGGTACCTGTTTGTCAATTGGCTATAATTAAGGGGAGCCAATTACTAATAATTTAAATTTATTAATAGTTTTTGTTTTTTTTTTGAATTATTTCTTTGGTTATAAAATGTAGAATTTAAAATGCTTACGAAGATTTAGTAATAAAAAAAATATTATGCTTTCAAAGTTCACGCTATAGCGCATGATCAAATACTGGCCGTTGATTTGGCAGCTATAGTATACATGATCATATACTGACCATTGATTTCATATATTGATACGAAGGTATGGGATCGTTGGCCCCATGTACCCGCCCTTCCTCTCAATCTTTTTTAATACACAGTGTCAAAATATATAGATATATATATATATAATATAATATATAAATAGATATTATTATATTATGGTAATCCAAAAAAATATATATATATAATTTGGGTGTAATGAAAGAAAAGATAATTTAATTGTTTAACTCAAGCAAAGATCCAAACTTAAGTCACGACCCAAATAAAATAATATCTAACTACAGATAAATTTGGGATAATAACAAGATATTAATAAAATAAAATCTAATTAATTGTTTCTTGATTTTATTTATTTTTTTCTTTGTTTTTCTTTTCATTTTTTATATTTTTCAGCTTTCTTTCACCTTTATTTATTTTAATTTATTACTTTTGCGAATACGATTTCAGATCATTTTTGAGCAAATTTTTTTATTTTTTCTCTTTTATCTTTATTTCATTTTTCACATTTTTTAAAATTATTTTTATGAATACGATTTTGGATCCTTTCTGGAGGAAGTCTAAGAACCCACCTGACTTTTGGCAAGCTTGCTCTGATAAATCGCATAAAAATATTTTAAGCACATATATAAATTATACATATATTTATATATTCACATATACATAATATATATATACATATATATTATTTTATGTGAAGGAAGTGAAGTAGTTGGGTAAAGAAGGAGCCGACCATCCCATTCCTGATACGAATTATTCCAATGATCGTAAAATCAACTATGTGACGTATAATAATAATAATAATAATAATAATAATAAAGAAAATCTATCATTCTCTAAATAAAAATTTTCTTCTAAAATTGTCGCCTCTCTTCCCTTTTCCTTAGAAAACAAATAAACCAAACACATAAAGAAATAGTTGCCTCGGATTCCCTCTCCTCTCTTCCTATATTAGGATTTCCTTTTTGGCAAAAACAACCGATCATTTTCTTCTTAGCAAGAATGATCAATATCGATACATCTTTGAAAATGCAAAGTACACAAGAATCAAAGTAGTTCCATTAATGTCAAGCTATTAGAATTTTCGGCAAGAATCACAAGATATTGTATCTTTAATTGATCTTTTATTTGGAACTTTTTTAGAAACACATATAATAAATCACATTCACAAATAATAGTCTTGCGTTCATGGAAAAAGTTGGGTGTTGGATCAAGAACTCCCATGAAAGTTGTCTTTGGGGATGAAAGACAATAAAAAATATAGACACAATCTATTATTATGTCAATTGATTGTATCTTAATTTATTATTTTTTTTTCAAGATAAAAAATTCTCTCAAATTTCTTCTTCAACACGACTTACAATATATATATTTTATCATCTCATAAAAGTCAACATTTAATATAAATATTATTTTTTATATTACCAACACAATTTCTATACCTCACCTCAAAAAATAATTTCAAATAAAAACACTAAACTAACAAGCACAAGGGCATGAGATAAAACTCACATTATTAGGTGACGAACATGCCATGTTCCTATTATCCTCCCTGTTATTAAATGTACAAAAATAATAAATAAAAAATAAAAAACAAAAAACGATCATCTTTCTACTTTATTCAAAGTGTGGTAGGAGAGGAGATCCTCTAGAAAAATGATTTGACATTTTTTTAGAAAAAAATTATATATTTTAATCTTATTTTAAATTTTTTAATTTTAATAATATTACTTTAATATCTTAATTTTAATTGGAAAATAATTATATACTTTGGCCAATTCTCTTGAGAGTGTTGTTGAGATTAACCCAAAGAAGATGGTAAACAAATACAACTTTAACAACAAAGAAAAAACTATCAACAAGGAACAGAGCAATTCGAAGCACAACGGAACCATATGTCGATAAGAATCGAGTAATAAAATCTTATGAAATGAAGGACAAAACGAAACAAACAAATGCTCGGATCGACCATGCATATTCCTCACGGCCGATGCATTCCTTTTACGGGAATGCAACTACCGACTTTCTTGAATGAGATATCCATTTGGCTAAATCTTTCATTGTCCTAACTTACTATTTAATGTCACCTAGAATTGGTCACGAAAGAATGCATCTTTAATCAAACATCGAGAATTTTCAATCTTTTCGCCCCTTTTATGATAACAACACCGAAAAATATGAATAGAACTCTTAAGTAAGAATACTTCATTCATGCCAACTCACTAAAGGTAGTATTTTGAGCCTCACATGCACACGATCGGCTACTCCTATCGCATGTTGATATTCTACTATATATACCCTCTAAAGGATGCAATCATGCTATGTAGTTCGAGAAGTTAGAATAATTATTAGGTTTTCCGAGTAATTTTTCGGCATCAAGAAACATGGAGGAGAGATTTCGATTTGCAGTAGGCATTCTAGGTACTTTCACGACAAATTTTCATTTGTTCGTATTGCATATGTAAAGTATGTGAAAGCTTGAAAACGAGTAACCTGTTTTTCGACGATTCTTGCAGGGAATGCTGCCTCGATGCTGCTCTACGCTGCACCGATGTAACTACAAAACCGTTTATTTATTTGGTTAATTACGTTAAAACCATAAAAAACACACGCACATATATATGTATGTATGTACGATGTAGACTACGTGTACCGACTTATATTGTGCACTAAATAATTTCAGATTAACTTTCTCGAGAGTGATAAGAAACAAAAGCACCGAAGAGTTTTCGTGTGTGCCATATATCATCGCCCTATTGAACTGTTTTCTCTACAGTTGGTATGCGTCGCCAGTCGTGAGTTACAAGTGGGAAAACTTTCTAGTGTTCACCATTAATGGATTGGGAGTTCTCCTCGAGCTCTCTTTTATACTAATATATTTCTACTTCTCTTCGGCTAATCAAAAGGTTATGTTTTCATACCATTTCGTAATACGCAAATAAATTTAAGCCGAAGCATAAATATGATAATTCGATGAAATTACAGAGGAAGATGGCCATGGGGATGTTACCTGTGCTCGTAGTGTCCTGCCTTGTTGCACTGCTATCGACGTTTGTTTTTCATGATCACCAGCACCTGAAGGTATTTGTTGGCAGCGTCGGACTTGTAGCATCTGTCGCAATGTATGGCTCGCCGCTTTTCGCTGTGGTGAGTTCTTTCTCGCCTACGAACAAATATTTTCTGCTTCCCCTGTTTAACAAAAAATCGAGCATTTATGAAGTCATTGTATGTTCGTAAACTATGCTTGCAGAAACAAGTGATACAAACTAAGAGCGTCGAATTCATGCCTTTCTACTTGTCGTTGTTCTCGTTCCTAGCGAGTTCCCTTTGGATGGCTTACGGACTTCTTAGCCACGACTTATTTCTAGCAGTAAGCTAATAAGCATAACAATCTCTGCCTCATCAAGAACATGTCCGTTTATTGCAATGCTTTCGATATTATTTATCAATAATAATTTTTTTTTTCACAAACAACTCATCAAATACCTATTTTTCCTTCAAAAGATATCGTATCAAATATTTTTTTACTATTTACAAATAAGGTGTACTAAAAATACTAGATCATACCATATACAATAGCAGATTTTTCAGACATATTAAAAAAAATTATATAAAAAGTTGTTCATACCATAACATATATTATACTATTATAATTCAGTTGTCTTATGCATATGCTGAGATATGTATGAATATATACTGATCATCCATATGCCCTATGTTGGTCAAATTAACACTGTGCTGATATGGCCGGATCAGCAAAGGATCTGCGGTCAATATGCAGTTTCATACTAAAATATCGAAATTTAAAATTATTTGATAATTTTTAAATAAAATTTTTAAAATAATTTTGGTATCAATACCAAAAATCAAAATATGTAAAAACAAGTATGTTACAGAAATTTTCAGTATACCTAAATCTTAGTATTACTTTACCCCTAATTCTATGTAAATGGATGAATTTCTAACAAATACATCTCATAATGTGTTCCACAGTCTCCAAATCTGGTCGGATGCCCTCTCGGCATCCTCCAGCTACTGCTCTACTGCAGATACAGGAAAAGGAAAGCCACAGAAGCACCTCAAAAATGGAATATGGAAATCAATGGTGAGATGAAATTCATCCAACATTTACCGGTCAATGAAGGCGGTGAAGAACAGACATCAGGCGAATATGTTAAGGCGAATGAAGAACAGCAGCAGATGCAATTGGCAGTTACTGATGCAAACATAGGCAGAAATTAAGCAAATCTTCCATGGAGTTTTGGAATAATTTGTATCCTCTCTACTCCTTTTTAATCAATAAATTCTAGAAAGTAGAAACATCGCAGAACAAAGTTTGTACTGTACCAGAGAAGCTTCCTTCGCTGGATCCATGGCGATCAGTGAGTACTCCAACGGTTAGTTATATAAATGAATCGTCTTCAACCTCGAGCATCTGCGCTAAATCAGAAAAGGTAAATTCAACATCAATCATCATTAATCCGTAGGAGCATTACGTCGAACAGGTAGCTCTCGTAATCAAGCTTGAGCTCTCACTGAGAAACCCTAAATCCTTACTCGAATCGGAGCGGAATCTTCCAAATTGAAATAATCAAATCGAAATTTTCAAACAATAATTTAGGCACGAGAAACGATGCGATTAGGAAGCAAGAGAACCTCCTGCCATGGGTATACGTGTCGCGCTGAGGCTTGCAGTTGTACCTATTGCTCATGCACGAAGCCACGTAATCCCCCCAATTCTCTGCTCCCTGCTTCGTTTGACTGATTCTTCTTCCCAAATCGCGATTCAGACAGTGCAAAGCATTTTCGAGATTTTTATATATAATTCCAATTGTGTCCGAAAATTTTTGCAGAGAATTACTTGGTTGCGGAAATGGTGAAGTTAGCGTCGGCTCGAGAGTCGCGAGCGTACGGGCCGAGAATGTCCCGGAGCCGGTCGGAATATATGAACGCCGGCCTGTACGTCTTCGCGACGGTGCTGTTGATGAGCGGCTTCGCGGCTCAGTTCTCGAGCGAGCCGAGATCGGGGCTCGTCTTGCTGCTCATCGGATTTCTCTTCATCGTCGTGGTGAACGTTCACGATTTAATCGCACATCTCGCCGGAATCGATTACCGGCTGCCGTTGTTGGAATACGATATGCAATTGGCGCTGGTTGAGCTCGCCGTCCCCGTCGTTTACAGCGCCGGCGCCGTACTCTTCTTCCTCGCAACGCTGTTCCTTCTCATCCAGGTGAGTCTGGAATATTCTAGAAAATTTGTTAATATTATCTTGATTAATGTGTTGTTATATGATTATATATATTAGATATCCTATTTTCATTATTAATAATATACATAATTCCTACAGATTTTTATATAAGCTCAATCTAGAATACTTTTCTCAGTAGTTAGCCAATCACTGAGGTTAATGACTGTCTCAATTGAGGAGGGAAGGAACCTCTTGTGGTTTTTGTAGTAAAATTGTACAAGAGGTTGTTGACATTTTATTAATTGTGTATGTAATATATGTGTAATTTATTAATATATTTTAATATTATTGTGTAATTATTTAGAAAAATGATACGTTGACAGAAAATTGTAAAAATGTAGTTGAATTATTTTATGGGAGTTAATCAACATATCCCCATATCCACGAATGAGTGAGACAATGGAACTTGAAGACATATTTCCGACATATGTCACATTAAATGATGTTTATTTAGGGTGTGTTTGTTTGGGGGTTTAGATTTTGATTTGAGATTTGAATAGTAAAAATTTTGAATTTAAATAGTTGTACGATGTGATATAAATAGGTATTGATGCGATGTTTTGAATGAAAAAATTGATTTTTAATATAATATAAAAAATAAAAAATAGGTATTTGATTTGATATTATTGGGGAATGGAATGAACAGTGAAAACTTAATCCAATCCTCCAAACAAACACACCCTTGATATAAATGTCCGTTCTCGAGTGGAGTTTGTCTATAACTCTAATTCCATTATGAGTAAGTTACATTTTCGAATCTATTTTTGGTAAAGACCGAGTCACCTTCCAAATCTACCTCATATTGTTCTTATTTGGTTATATTCACGAGATTAGATTGTTATATTTGAGTTAGTTTATACAATTTTGAAAATTTTCGCAAAATGTAAATGATCTGTAATAATAACAATTTTTCAAAACTAACCACCATTAAATTGCAGGCAGAGAAAGGGTACAAGCACTTGAAGATGGAGAAGGTGGCCTTGAGCATGTACATTGCCGCGCCGATTCTATGGCTGGTAGGATCGATCCACAACTCGTGTCAGATCTACGAGAGGTCCGACAGCCATGTCCAGATCCTTCAGGAGACCGTCCTGATTCCGTTCCTCATGTCGAGCTTGCTATTTCTCGTTGGCTCCATTTTCAACAGCCGCGAGCAGATGAGCCACAACCACCGCCGCCACCACCACCACCACCACGGCGTCGAGCTTTTGGTGAGTTCTATTGCAGAATTTCCCTGACGTATTTATTATTATTATTATTTAGGGTGTTTGTTTAGGGTATTCGAAATAATGGTCTAATGCGACATAAATTGGTTCTGGATGTGATATTTTTAATATAAATTAATTTTTAACATAAAATAAAAAATTAAAATACATGTTTGATTTGATGTTTTTAAAAAAGATTTTTTTCGTGAATAATAGAAATCTAAGGATATTTGATATAGGAACACATCCCTAGTTATAACCATTACTTATAGTCCAGACTAATAGTTAGTATATAGAAAATTTAAAATTATGTAATACACCCTTAGTTATAACCCTTTGGGTGTGTTTGTTTGTGGGTTTGAGATTTTGGATTTGAATTTTTTAATAATAAAAAATTGAATTTGAATAGTTTTTTGACGTGATATAAATATATATGGATGTGATGTTTTAAATAAAAAAATAAATATATAGTATAATATAAAAAGTAAAAAATAATTATTTGATATGATAATTTTGATGTGACAAAAAATCTGAATGGTAAAATCTACAAAAGAATATAACCAAATTTATTATTCAAAGCTCAGTGGTTAGTCTATTAGATTAAGTGGTTATTATTTGAGTTTATTAGATTTGTATCATGCTTATTGGTGATCTCTGACTTCATTATTAATAACATGCATCTGTGCAATATGTAGAGCGATGGAAACTGCGTAGGAAATATAAAAATAATGAATATATATGTGATATATTAATATCTTAGAGAAAACGTATATGTTTATTTTTTTAAAAAGAACAGTTCTCGAATAATTGTTCATCATCTTCAGGGGGAGTCGTGGGTGTGGCTAGGGTTAATCGGAAGCTTCGTTTTATTCGTCGGAGGCCTGGCGAACGTGGTGAAAGTGTTCAAGATGCAGCAGTGCAACGGGCTGAGATTGGAGAAGCTCCGCGGCGGCGCGCACGAGCGGTTGGTGCAGATAAGGGAGGGGCAGAGGCCCCTCATCGCCGGAGAAGACGATGAGCAGAGGAGAGTGATGCTTACGGAGGAGCAGCGGCGGCGGAGGGCGGCGGAGATGGCCATGGAGGCCCCCACTCCATATAAGGATGTCCTCGTTGGCCAAACATGAAATCAAATTGAATTTGAAATTGGAACATTTAGAAAACAAATCCTTTGAGATCATATATAGCTTGTGTGTAAATGGATTTTCTTTTCACGCGTTTGGTCTTCTATGAACAATGTTTTATAAGGAAAAAATGATATGCTTCTTCAGTTCCATTTGGATATTTTGTGTGCTATATGTTGGGTGGCCTGTCGGAAAATTAGAGCACATTTGGTAGCAATTGCGAATTTTTATATCATGAGATAAAAAAACAAAAACAGTCGAAAGTATTCAAAATGTGACAATTTTTTGTCCAATAAAGTATTCAAAATGTGTCAATTTTGTGTGGAATAACTCTGCTTTCGAATAAGAATGATGTGTTATCTGTTTTGTTTTTCAAATTGTGTTATATATAATATATATTATGCTCCTGTACAAATATAATATTTTTTAAAATAATAATAATGAAATTGTAAATAATAGCCAAGTTGTTGTAGATCAATCAGTCATTCCATCTTTTGTGTCTGTTCTAAAAAATTTAAAATTTATTAAAATATATAATTATATATTTTTTAATAAATAATAATTTATTTTTTATTATTTCATCACTATTTTTGTATTAATATGCGGGTTAAATTGCACAAAATCCACTCATGATTTCATGAAATTGTACTAAATCCCCTGCATCAAATCCCCCTCAGCGGTCTTTATGTAACTGTATTTGACATAAATGCGAACACATTTTAGAATCTCAATTTCTAAACTCTTGAACTTACAAATATATTTATTTATATTTATATTTATCCTAAAGACCGTTGAAGGAGTTAAACTCAAAGTTTATAAAACCACAAAAGAGTTTGGACCAATTTTAGAAGTACGAAAGATTTGGTGTAATTTCATGAATTTTGTGCAATTTAACCTTAATCTTTTAATTAATTTTTATAATACTTTCAATTTAATTTTTTACCTATTTTTACTTTTAACATTAAACTATCATTATCTTTTATCTTCGTTACCAAACAAACTTATATAATTTACTAGATGAAATGAACATTTCTTTATCACTTAACACTATTTATCTATAGTAATTTAACTTTTTTCGAATATATATATCAAATGCTCCCTCTGTCCCATATCTATTTATCCATTTATTTTTTAAAAAATTAAACTATAAAGTAAAGACATCTGTAAATTGAAAAAATATTTATAATATTAAGTATACAGTAAATTACTTATAATATTTAAATTACTTACAAGGAAAATGCATATGGATCAAAATAGAAAAGATTAACAAGGGACAGAAAGAATACTTACTATTTAAAATTTTAATTTCACACAAAATATTATATTCAACACCTATTTATATCACATCTAATATTTAAATTTTTTGCCAAAATTTTCTAAAACTAACAAAAAAAAAACTCCAAAACACGCCATCACATCAAAAAAAAAACCATTGATTAAGACAACCAAAAGAAGATATCACATATTTGAATGATTGATGGCGAAAACTTCAATTTTAACTCACTTCTCTTTCAAAAATACGATTAATTCCATATAATATGGATATATATATATATACATATAATCAATCAATAGTAGTAATATTCAATAACAAAAGCCATAGCCAAATTCAAATACCTGGTTCCATTGCAATGCAGCAAGATATTCCCATGAAAACGATGAGTTTTTCCGAATTTCCATACCCGAATCGAATTCCGACGTGTTCTAAGCCACTCTACATAGCCACAAGAACATCGTCGGTCGCCTGCACGAGGTCGAGCGGCAAAGCTGCCGGATCGAGCTCCAGGCATCCTTTAGGCGCATTTCGAGCTTCATTACCCGTAATCGAATAGTAAGGCACACGATGCGAGAATCTGAACATTTCTTCCTTGGGTATCCTCTTGATCGCCTCTCGATCACTATTAATTCGAAAAATCGCATTGAAACCGAGCACCTTCGCAAGAGGAGCTATGGAAATACCTTTTTTGTCGATGTAATCATCGAGCACGATAACCATTTCATACTTACGAACAACTTCGTTCGGGGTGTTCTTGTTCCAATCGGAGGACCAGTTCTTGAAGACAGCCCAGACGTCGCCCTTTTTTGGGAGTATTACGATGCTCCCGCGAGGGCCTTTCGACCAATGAACTTTCTGCGAGAAGGCGTTCATGAATCTGCACGATTCGTATCTGCCAACGCGAAATTCTCCACAAGTTTTGTAGAATCCGGATCGAACCCAATCCATGGCGCTGAATTCGCTGTTCGTTTTGGAGTTAAGCCAGCTGATCTTCAACCGAAATGGCTCCCGGGAGATTACTTTGCTGATCAAAGCATAGAATCGCGGCATTCCGTCGTTGTCGTCGTAAGCAGCCCAGACCTCGTTGTCGCTGAAAGAAGCTTCTGATCGGTCCTGATCGAAATCGTAGAAGTCGGGATCTGGAACAGTCATCACCGAGGCTTCGGGATCGGAATAGCTGCATCGATCCTTGTTCGAAGCTTTTCTCGTCATCTCTGATGGCGGAATGCTCAACGTATGTATAATCTCCTTTCGACCCTTTGCAATCAACAGTTTACGAATTTCGGACATATTCAAATCTCTGGTAATTCCCGGCTTATCATCAAGCTTTTTCCTTTCATCGAAACCTTCCTTTCCTGCATAATCATACGATTCTACGTACACTCTCTTCAACTTATCTTGACTCACACGCACGGCCTGAGCTGCTTTAGCCTCTGTAGAAGGATTAAAGCTCGAAACTCCTCTACTTTTCTCTGGTTTTTGAGGAATCGGGACATTCTGAGGTCTCTGTTTCGGAAACTGATCCATTGTTTTGTAAACACCAGAAGGGGGAACTGTCTCGGAAGCCATGAACGATTTATGACAATTCGAACAAAGCAGCGAGTAGTTAATGTACTTTCTAAAATACTCAAAATACATCCCGCATCGATGACAGAGAGTCCAAAAAGTATCGGTTCTTCGATAGGATGGAGGCGTTGTTGGCACAGAGCATACATTCGAACCATTCTTTCGAGTTTTAGGAACTGACGACATCTGAAGTCCTATGGAGCTTCTCCTCCGATCATACGCCAATCTCTTACCATGATCCGATAACAAACTCCACGCCTCCGAGATAAGCTTGAATGCACCATCAGCACCAACTGATTTGTTCTTATCAGGATGCAGGGCAAGAGCCAACTTCCGGTAATGTTTTCTTATTGTTTCGTCGTTCTCTGATTGGTTTGCGCCGAGCACACCGTACCAGTCGACAACTCCATTTATCTTATTCTCTGCAGCAACATATACGTCGAGAGTTGTCAGGATCTGAGAGATACCATCTAAATCTGGATACAGAGTTTTTGCCTTCAGAGCAAATTTTTTTGCACCGGAGAAATCCTTTTGTTCTAATAACTTCCGCTCAGCAATTGATTTTGCTCTCATGGCTTCCTCCTTATTGCACTCCATACTTTCAAAACGGTTCTATCACTTCTTCCTTATGTATGTATAATATATATATATATATATATTCACAGCATTCTCAGTGATCTAAGGTTCGCTCTCATCTAACACCTGATTCATGGACAAGTTATGTTGAAGATATCTACAGATAGCTCAAAAACGCATTAAATCAAAACCGAAGGTAAAAACAGTAACAACTCATAAAAACCATATTCCAACAGCATTAGAAATCAGAAATAGCGATTCAAACAATTACGGTAAGGACACTCCGAAAACAGTAGAAACTCAAAATTCAGATAACATACCGAGTTCCGCGAATATGAGCCGACGTAATGGATCTCGGATGATTCAGAAAACGAAAGCAACAGGATCGCTCCAAATTCACAGACTGTTCGGAAACCGTTGATTCAACGCCAAATATTCCAAAATTCAAATAAAATTCAGTACTTAAAAAGCAAACAGGAATATTACCGCCTTATTTTGGAATTCGGTTTTCGTCAGGATTCCCTCCTTTTGGGATTAGCCTTAAGACTGAATCCTACAGTCAAACCTCGAACGCAGAGGACAAATTGTAATTGGCAAATCAAAAATCTGAAAAACAGAATTTGCAGTGGATTAGGTCCTCAAAACTTGTAGGGTTAATATGCTTTTATCGGTAACCTTAACTGTGGTTAAGGTAGAATTAACCGCGGTTTAGTTAGGGAATTTGGACTTTCTAACTTCTTAAAATATAAGTAATATAACGAAAGCATGAAAAATAAAAGTAAAAATAAATTTGGCGAAAAAAAAAATATAATAACTTTAAAATTTAAATCATATCCTATCATATCTTATCCTATCATATCATATGATATCACATCGGATCAAACTAATATAATTTTGATTTGGCCCAATCAATATATGATAATGTAATAGTCTACAGTCAATCTATCTATTTATTTATTTTTGCATGTTAATTTTTAAATATTATTATATAAAAACATAGTATAAATTAAGAAAAAACGAAAAAAATATATTTTTATTGGTGTCTTATAATACTAATGTAATGATATTTGTACAAAAAAATTATACAAATATAAAAATATTTTTAATGTTAAAAATAACTATGCCAAATGCAAATGGATAGATTGGCGATGGATGAAAGTAATATACTTTTTTTTTATTGGATTAAAAAATATATATAATAGCATAAAGACCAAATTATTATTACTTTTTAGATATAAATATATAATAAAGTAAAAATAAAATAATAAATAAATTTAAAAAAATATAAAATTTTGAATTAGACTAACCAAAATATAAACATATAAACATTAAAAACATAAATATATTATTGATTTAAATTTAATAATATAATATAATATATTATAAAAAAAAATAATGATATGATACATAATTACTTTAAAAGATAATAAAAATCTTTAAATTAAACGGACGAAAATAAAAGTATATAAATTTTAGAAGCAAAAGAAAATAACACAAGATATTAATATATTATCGATTTCGAGGCAATAGCACAATATACTATATAAATACAGGACAATATGTGTTTTTATATAACACAACATAGAATACTAGTGTAAGTGTGCAACTATAAAAATTTGTAATATTTATATTGTATATGAATTTATTTATGATTTTCAACCCTATATATAATTATTTATAAATAATTAAGTGTATAAGAATAAGATTGATAATTTGTTAAATTTTTCAAAATTTTCTTTATTTTTTATTATTATTTTAACATCAAATTCCATTAAATTATTGCTAAAATATTATAAAAGTTAAATAAAAAATATATTAACAAATTGTAGAATCAATATATTTTTATTTATCGGTTCTTTATATTTATTACAAGTGAGAGAAAAATAAAAAAATAAAAAAAGAAAATAATTTAATTATCAGTTATCTTCATTAACGAGACATAATTATCAGATTGTCATTAATTAACAACCCACTAAACACAATTAAGCATAGTATAATCACAATAACTCCTCAAGGGGCAGAATCAGAAAAGGCAATATATATGAAGGAGCGAAATGAAAATAGAAGGAAATGCTGCACTATAAAAGGGTTGAAGGAACGACGACTGGGTCGGATCGTAGAAAAGTCGTAACCCGGAAAGGAAATGGGTCCCGCCAATGACTTTCCCTAGCCATCCTTGTTCATCTCAACTGTACTATGGGTGGACTCCTGACTCCGTCTCTCTCCAAAATCCAACTGCTAATTCACAAGATTTAGCTCAACTTGCGGAGAGATTTTACTGGCGGAAGGTGCAAAATCGGGTCAATTATTGGGGAGAGGGAGCCGGAAGCATCCGTGAAGCTTCCTTGACCTCTGTGGACTGTATTGAAACAACTCATAACTACGGCGTGGTATTATTGCTGCTGTTTGTATGATTTGATTGTGTGTTAGATTCTTGTGTTAGTCAGCTCCGGTGAGTTTTGATTCGGTAGGCGGGGTTTTTTTTTTTTTTTTTTTTTTTTTTGGTGTATCGGAGAAGGAATTGGGATTTAATGTTGTGTGGTGATTGTTTGATGTCTGCTATTTGCTAGTTGTTTTGGATTCGGTTTTCGATTTTTGTATTTTTGTCCTTGATTTAGGTTTTTCGACTTGGTTTGCGTGAGCATAGTGTTTGATTGGATGAGTGATGAAGTAACCAATTTTGGTTATGTTTGGTAGGAAATTATTGGGGTTTTTTTGTCGATTTAGGAAGGTTGAGTTGGAAATTGATAACTGATAGTTAATTCTAAACTAATGTTGTTATCCACACTTTGAATATAGAAAATGTATTGATTGCATTTTATCAACCCCCACCATTTTTTTGCTGATCAAACCTTGTGGATGATTTAATGGAAAGCTAAAAATAATAAGGTATTTGATATGGTTTTATTTTTATTTTTTACATTGATTTGTAATCAGCTCTCTAACGATTTTTTTTTTTTTTATTTTTTTTATTTTTTTATGGTCTTTGTCCATTTTTCTGCATATTGTGTGATTCTGCTATAGTGATTGAGAGTTCAGTTTGTGCTGTAGAATTTTTTCTGGGAATGTGCTATTTCTAATGAAAGTTGCTCAATCACATTTATAGGGCTTGACCTTCACCGAAGTCCACTGTAATCAGTAGCAAGTGTCCTTCTGCTCCTATAATTTGAGGTCATTTGTTTGTTTGGCATCAATTCTGGTTTGAGTGGGAGTTATGTACCGGGAGAAGTTTGTGAGGTCTGTTCATCATACCTTGGTATATCCATCTTTGCTCAATAGTTTTGGGTTTAGATAAGTTCTGTAGATGTATATTCTCTGTTACTCTGTTACTTTCACCTTCACAGCTTTCGCCTAGTGTTAACAAATTTATGTCTTTGTTTCAAACAATTTTAATTTTACCTTCCAGGTTTCAAGACTGGAGATCTGAGAAAAGTTTTAATGGACAATCGCCTAGTAAAGGTGGAGTGCAGCTATCAAGACTCCGATCAGCAGCATATTTGGTCTCAGACAAGTTTCAGAGAGGATTTGAATCTGGTTCTGAAAGGATCAAGAGGTTCACTGGAACAATAAGATCCTTCTCTTTTGGAAAGTCTCGGGCAGATGGTGGGGTATCGAGGAAGAAAATTCTTGATCCTCAAGGGTCATTTCTTCAGAAATGGAATAAGATTTTTGTACTGTCTTGTGTGATTGCCATTTCCTTGGATCCCTTGTTTTTCTATATCCCCATTATCAACAATGATAAAAAATGCCTTGATTTGGACCGCAAGATGGAACTTGCTGCTAGCATTTTGCGATCCTTCACAGATCTCTTTTACCTCACACATATTATATTTCAATTTCGTACGGGATTCATTGCCCCTTCTTCGCGGGTGTTTGGAAGAGGCATCCTGATTCAAGATTCCTGGGAAATAGCCAAAAGATACCTGCGTTCGTACTTCGTAATTGATATCCTTGCTGTTCTTCCACTTCCTCAGGTAAAAGTGTCGTTCTTGCATGCTATTTTGTTGTAACTATAAGTGGGATAAAGCACACTTGTACGTCTGAGTGTATATATATATATATATATATATTGTAATATTAGAATGAACTTTTAGATGTGCCCACCTTTTTGTTTCAGATCCTTAGTTGTTATGAGTTAGTTTACACCTAACTTATTTCGATGTGGTGTCTATTTCTGTATCTGATAATCTTGCAACTTTTCAGATTGTAATTCTCATCATCATTCCCGAGTTGAAAGGTGATAGATCTTTGAACGCAAAGGATTTGCTAAAATTTGTGGTGATCCTTCAATATATACCAAGGCTTCTTCGAGTCTATCCATTATATCAAGAAGTGACAAGAACCTCAGGCATACTCACTGAAACAGCTTGGGCTGGTGCTGCCTTCAATCTTTTTCTGTACATGCTCGCCAGTCATGTAAGTGTGTTTACGAAGCTTCATGAAAGTATACTAAACCATGCTCATTTCCTATATTCTTTTAATTGCTACCCTATGCATGCCTTTTCAATGATACTTGCTTGTTATCTTTGCACTGCACTTTGGTATCTTTCATTTGTCATTTTGGAAATAAGTTTAGTTGGAATATATATTTATATATATACAGTTGTATATGGGGTTGGCTATTATTCTTAGAGCGTAAGATGGGGTACATATATGCAACATGAAAATCAAGATTAGTAAAGTAAGAGCATGTATGTCAATGCATGTTAGAATAATTGCTAACTTTCTGATAACACTCGAAAATTCCAAAGACAAAAAAGGTAAAATGGACACAAACTTGATAATCTAGATTGGAAGGTTGCCTATGTATATACCTCTTTTCAAGTTACAATATGCTTCGCCTAATAAAATCTAAAACACCATTAAACAAATCTAAGCAAGCATAACAAGCATTCACATATGCCTACAACATCCACAAGAATAGCCTCACTAGCCATAACTAATCTTTTTAGACACCACTCACTCAACCCTATTGCTGGCTTAGTGTTCGCTGCCACTTTGAGTGTCCCAACTGCGTAAGTGATATGTGGATGACTTTTTTCCCAAATGTTGTCTATGCAACACATCAACTCCACGTTTATATGCTCTATAGAGTTGCAAAGTAGTAGGACCTTCATTTCAAGAAAAATCTATACTGGAAAATGTAGGAATTTTCTCTAACAAGTATGTATTTGAATAACCCCACTCACACGTGCAAAAATGACATTAGAATGTATGATCTCCGACCCTCTTCAAGGGAAAGGCAATCTTCATTTTGCCGCTAATCACAAATTGTGTAGTTACCTATGTCAAAATGTTTTGATACACAAGATCTGGAAAACACTTGCATGATACATCATAATTATGCGTTGTAAGAAAATTGTCCATTGATTTATTAGTATGGAGGAAAAAATAAATAAATTGATATTGTTAAGAAAATACGAGTAATCGTAAATCCTAAAGTCTAAAATTGTACATGTTTACTTTGTTGGAGTATTAATTGTGATATTTATGTTAAACAAGCCCTGATTGTATATCCACACCACCCTGATATTCCTGCCTTTACTTGTGACCCCTGTTAGGTGCTCGGAGCCTTCTGGTATTTGTTTTCTATAGAACGTGAAACAAATTGCTGGAAGAGAGCTTGCGGAGATCAATCTGCATGTCGTTCTTCTTCGTTTTATTGTGATGCTAAGGATTCAGGAGGATTCACACAATATTTGAACAACTCTTGCCCGATACTGGATCCAAATGCCACACTTTTTGACTTCGGGATATTCCTTGATGCTCTTCAATCTGGTGTTGTTGAATCAAAGAACTTTCCCGAGAAATTCTTTTACTGTTTCTGGTGGGGTTTGCAGAATCTAAGGTATTTTTTTGGTCCTAAATTTTTTATGCACTGAAATTACTTTTTGTTATGATCAGACATCGGCTCTCGCCTGCTGTTGTGGAATTTTTTCTACCGTTTTTTATTTTGGTGAGCATATGGTTATTCTTCTGTTCTCTTTTCAAATTCTTTTATTAAGGATATACATAATCGGCATTGCGCAAAGTGAAAAAAGTGGACGTATATAACTGTGGATTTATTGTTTGCTTGTAGAGTTTTCCGAATCCAGTATACATTTTTGAGTCTCGTCTAATGTTGCAGCTCCCTCGGCCAGAACCTTCAAACGAGTACGTATATCTGGGAGATTTGCTTCGCCGTTTTCATATCTATAGCTGGTTTGGTGCTGTTCTCGTTTCTTATCGGAAATATGCAGGTGCGTTTGTTGTTTCGATTTGTTTTTTTTTTTTTTTGATTAAACTAGAAGCAATTTTGTTATTGCAAAGTTCTAATAAACTACAAAAATGCCGTTCGACAGACGTATCTGCAGTCGACAACGCTGAGACTAGAGGAGATGCGCGTCAAAAGACGCGATGCGGAGCAATGGATGTCGCACCGTCTGCTTCCTTACAGCTTAAAAGAACGAATCCGAAGATACGAGCAATATAAATGGCAGGAGACGAGGGGTGTCGACGAAGAGAATCTCGTCCGGAATCTTCCTAAGGACTTGCGACGAGACATTAAACGCCATCTCTGTCTTGATTTACTCCGGCGGGTGAGTTTCTTGTCTGATTCTTCTCGCCCAACGGATTTCTCGAGCGTTTCAAAATTTTTTTATGGTAAATTTGTTCATAACTCTTCTGTAGTTTCGAAATTCAGCGTAAAAGTTTTCTATACTTTAAAAATTGTATGACGCTCTTTTATAATTTCAAAAATATTGCATGAAACCTCACTGCATGAAAACTTCCCTGTTGGGTTCCATACAATATTTTTTAAAGTATAAGGAGCGCTATGCAAATTTTAAAATAAAATATGAATTTACGCTGAGTTGTGAAACTATGTAGAGGTTTTATATCAAATACACTGAGTTGTGAAACTATGTAGGGGTTTTATTTCAAACATTTTTTAAAGTATAAGAGAACGTTATGCAATTTTTAAACTAAAGGGAAATTTACTCTGAGTTTCGAAAATTTTGCTTTTTTGTTTTATTTATGATTTAGGTGCCGATGTTTGAGAAAATGGACGATCGACTATTGGATGCGATGTGCGATCGTCTGAAACCGGTGCTGTACACCGAGGAAAGCTACATCGTGCGGGAGGGCGACCCGGTCGACGAAATGCTGTTCATAATGCGCGGGAAACTACTCACGGTAACGACCAACGGCGGGCGCACCGGGTTCTTCAACTCGGAGCAGCTGAAGGCCGGCGACTTCTGCGGCGAGGAGCTCCTGACGTGGGCGCTCGACCCGCACTCGTCATCGAACCTCCCGATCTCGACGCGGACGGTGCAGGCGCTCTCGGAAGTCGAGGCGTTTGCGCTGGTGGCGGACGACCTGAAGTTCGTGGCGTCGCAGTTCCGGCGCCTGCACAGCAAGCAGCTGCGGCACACGTTCCGATTCTACTCACAGCAGTGGCGGACGTGGGCGGCATGCTTCATACAGGCGGCGTGGCGGAGGTACACCCGGAAGAAGCTGGAGGAGTCGCTCCAGGAGGAGGAGAACCGGCTGCAGGACGCGCTGGCGAGGGGGGGTGGGAGCTCGCCGAGCTTGGGGGCCACGATTTACGCGTCGCGATTTGCGGCGAACGCGCTCCGGGCGTTGCGGCGGAACCGGACGAGGAAGACGCGGCTGCCGGAGAGGATATCGCCGATACTGCTGCAGAAGCCGGCGGAGCCAGACTTCACCGATGAAGAGAAGTAAGGAAATTTGGAAAATAAGTGTTGTATTGTACGGTACGGTACGGTCGAATTTTTTTTCTATTAATTATTATTATTAATTATTAGAAATGTATTATAAGGGTTTTCTTTTTTGGGGGGGGCGGGGGGTTATAGGAAGGCTTCAACGTTGGTGGTGGTGTTTGTAAGATGTATGTATATTATTGTTATAACTGTTATTAGTATGGTATTTATTACGTAAATTTTCAGCTTTTTTTTTATTTTTATTTTTATATAATTGATTTATGGTAAATTTATTTTAATTTAAATTAATTTTAAATTGTAACGGAAGAATAATACTCAATACAAGTACTAGTAATAATTACTACATACTTATGAGATGGTCATTTCGGATAGCTTTGGTTTTTTCATGCCGGGCCAACCTCCATTAGTTTATTCCACAAATGTGAAGTTTGTCCGATGACTCGATCATTTCGGAGAACAATATCACACACATATATGTATATTTACACATAACCAAATCGTACCCACTCTTATAAATAAATACATTATAATATTTCAAATAAAAAATAAATATCCAAAAATATAATTTCAATAATATATATCTCCAAATACATGTTTGAACATCAAATATTGTCTGTGTTATATATATATACTTGATGAATCAACCTTGAAGGAAGGTTTCATTTCAATTCAATCTCTAAGAGCTTCAACCTCTCTCTTGACAAAAGTAGGCAATGCCAAGGCCGCCCGATGAACCTGCGAATACAAAACAAAACCCGGCCAGGTTAACGAAAATGAGTTTCTTTAGTAGCGTCAATAAGCTCAATCTCGGGTATGTTTACAATACAAGTCGAAAAAGTCACCTCCGAGTTGTAAAACTTAAGTTGCCTTTTGTTCTCAAGGGAATTCTCCTCAAGGTTCTCTATAGGATTGATCGGCTGCAAGAAGTCAACGGGAGGTCCCTCCGTCGAGCACAATACAAATCCTATTACACCACTGAAAACATACACACATACAAACGCTGCAAACATTCAGACTCTGTTTACATATATACTTTCGAAAATTTTGACAAAGATACTTAAAAAATAAATAAATAAACACTATTCATTAACAGTACTTAAAAAAAAATCTCAAATATTTATTTCGTCTCACAAAACATCATATAAAAAGTTCCAAAACTACAAAAGAACCTTTATCCAAACCGAGCCTATTTATTGTTACTATAACAATCACATTGTAACAAACCTTATTCTACAACAACCAGTTAACAAGAATATATATATATGCATACCTAACCCGTATTTTTATTATACATAAATCACATTTCACATATGCGAATTAAAAGTTATACGTACTTTTACCCAAAAAGAATAAACAAAAACGGGCATTCCAAGACGTAGTTTAGAGTGTGTGTGCAGCTCAGGCGAGTTTTTTTTATACCTTGGATATGTAGGAACACTAGTCCAGGCATAGCGAACAGAACCTTTGAACGTATCCCGGCATATGGTAATCATATCTTGAATCAGATGTGTGTGAAGCCACATACTTTCCGCCATGTTGCAAAGAACCCCACCGGGCCTCAATGCTCGGGCGATCATATCAAAGAATGGTCTTTCTACAAGCTCTTGAGCCGGGCCTGTAAGAAGCAAGTGTTGTAATAAAGGCTCGTTGTCAAGAATAGTGTGAACACAAAGAATTATTAGTGTTATACATATCATGAACACGCTGAAAACAAAGCTACATTAAATTGAACAAAATAGATCGGTGCATCAAGTAAATAGAATGAAGGCATCCCATACCCACAGGATCTGACGAATCTACAATTACTGCATCGTAGTTTCCTTCAGGCACTTGTCTAAGGAATTCGATAGCTGTCGAAAGAGAAATGGCATATAACTGGATGATTACTAACTCGAGACACAGAAATAGGAATTGTCATTTTAGACAGACAAACATTTCATCGAAAGAGCTGTTTATTGGTTCCATTTTAAATGCGAAAGAAGTTATATTAAACCACGAGTCGAAGCAAAAGATTAGCTCAAATTTTTACTTTAATATAATAAAATCAACTGCATCATTCTTTTGTAGATTTTTTATAAGATTTTTAAAATTGATTTTATTTTTTTTTTCCTCCAAAAATATCAAATTAAATAATTATTTTTTATGTTTTATATTATACTAAAAATTAATTTTACATTCAAAATATTATATTTAACTTCTATTTATGTTACATCAAACAACTATTCAAATTCAATTTTTTTCTACTAGAAAATCCAAACTAAAAATTCAAATCCACAAACAAACACGCCCGTTACAAGTTTGAGGACGTATAACAGATATAAGGATTACCATCACCAAGATGAAGATGCACGCGAGGATCCTCAAAACCGGTTGCTAAATCCGGGAAGTATCTCTTGCTTACCTGCAACGCAGGCAACCATATAGCATTAATTGCACGAACATAATGTAAAACAGAATACATGATATCTACGAAAGTAACAATGCAGCAGAATTAATTCACCTACATCGATAACCATTTGATCTATTTCACAAATATCAATCAGCTTCACCGAATCATGACGGGCAATTTCCCTAAGAACTCCACCGTCCCCTCCACCTACTACCAATACCTGCATTCCCAGAAAAGGGAATATAAAAAAGTTTAGACTACAGATCAAGAGTTTACGACTCTAGCATCACACAACCAATATATAATTCAACTCCTGAGGACCAATTGACAATTTCACTAAAGAATTTGATCGGTGTAAGCAGACGTGTAAAAACAAAAAAAAATGTAGGGGGGAGCAAATTTCTGTAAAAAATGTTGGTTACATTTGTTGGGGATTTGATGGAACAGAGAGGGAGATGGGCTATCATCTCCTGATAAGCGCATTCATCTTTCTCGGTCAGTTGAACAATGCCGTCTAGCACTAGCACTTTCCCATACATTGTGGACTGCAAAGACAAGAGAAGGCCGAAGTACCCATGATTTGAGCTTCAAAAAACAGAAAAACCACACTAGACTAAAAAGGAACAGTCGGGAAGCAGAACCTGGAACACCATAACTTCCTGGTACATCGATTTCTCCTTGAACAAAATTTCTTCCACTTTCAGGGAATGGGCTTCTCCTAAGGAAACAAGGTTCCGAAGAGTTTGAGAATCACAAATTTTTTATAAATTCATTGCAAAATGAAACAGTTGTATCGAAAATGAAACTAAACAAATCATGCGGGAGTTGAAATGAATTTGATTAATATGAGTAATCAATCCTTCTCTGAAAAAACAAAAAATCTTGTTCTGATAAACATCAATATTATTCTAGTTTTCGTCTTATAATTATAATTTTATTCAACGGAGAAATTGTATCAAAGATTGGTTAGCACAGCAACTACTAAAATATTGTGTATAGAAAAATGTTGCAGCCAAGAGTTCCTGAATATTCTTATCTTTTCATTTCTAAATTCACATCCAAAGAATACTTTAATATATGCGAATCGCAGAACAGAATTAATTAAATTCGGAAATCAGTCTAAAGGTGAAATAAGGCTCAGAAAGGTGCTTTTGTTACGAAAATTACAAAGTAATACTTGAATATCAATGTCAATTCCTAATTCCAGTTATGCAAATTGATAAATGAAATTTTCGCCCAATTCATTTCACCATTTCGATTTGGAATAGAATGAAATACCTGGCCACATGGGATTATTAAAGAACACTTCCTTCACAGTTCCATCTGCAATTAACATCAAGCAATCATTACTACAACACGAGAGTTAAAACTGTAGTTTGAAATAGTTCCAACAAACATCATTAAACATGAGGCCTTCCCCAATCTATATTTTACAACATGGCAAATCTGCACAAAATCGACTTGTGATTTCACGAAATTGGTCCAAATCTTCGTACTTCCAAAAGTGTGTCAAACTTACAATGTGTCTAACTCCCTTAGCCATTCTTGTGTAACCGTGTTTGACCTACACGGACCCAAACTGCGAAAGAATTTCAGAATCTCTATTTCTAAACTTTGAAAATTACAAATATATTTATTCCTCTTATGTTTAGCTTCAGAACAATAAAAATAATTCTTGGAACCAAATTTCTGAATATATTTATTGTTCTTTGAAGTTAAATATAAGAAGAATAAATATATTTGTAATTTGAAGTGTTTAGAAATTGAGATTCTCAAAGACCGAAACTTATTTACAGTTTGAGCACGTAAAGGTCAAACACTTAAATAAGGACAGTTAAGAGAGATAGGTGCAAAATTTATGAAACCATAAAGGAGTCTTGGCGCAATTTTGGAAGTATAACAATTTCGCGCAATTTCACGAAACTACTTGGGTTTTATGCAATTTTGCCTTTACAACATTAACAGAGACAAAAATATGTTGTTATACCAGTGGATGACCGGCGCTCTGAGAACCATCCAGAAACTACAGTTGAATGGCATACGGCATCGAGCTCCGGATCCGACCCCTTAGCTTTCAAACAACAAGATGGGATCGCAACAGTCTCAGCATTAATCACACTCCCATCCATAGTCCTCGGGCATTCCGAATCTTTTCCTACGCCGGCCTCCATATATTATCCTTTTCTTCTGAGTCTCCAGTCTCTGATCACCCGAAAAATATATAAAACTAAAGTAAGGGTTTATGCATAGCAGCACCAACACTAAATCCGAAACAAAAATCATCAATTTGGATACATGAAAATTGGAAACAGCAAAAGAACAAATTCAAAACAGGTGTAAATACATTCATTAAATTTGCAAAAACTGTAAACCTAAACCTCAAAACACAAATATGAATAAGATGAAGAACACTATACAAAATACTGTAGCAAATTTCCAGGCAACTACAGAATGACGAATCCGAAATGTAGCCAAAATGACAAATTACTACACCAAAACGACGAAAAGATTGCAATCCAAAAGCATGCTAGGGTTTATAAAAATCCGACGACACAAAACTTACTCAATTCTAATTAAAATTTTAGGAATTAAAAATTACAAGGACATTGCAGGATCAGAAATTCAACAGAAATCACATCAGTACGCACCAGTGGCTCGCTGGCGATGTTCCGAAAATTTCCTGAAACAAGGGAACAGAAAATTGGCAGCAGAATTGCAGAGGGGGCACAATTAGCAAACGCAGAATGCGAAAAAATAGGCCATTAATGTTATGAATCCAGAAGTTCGGGCGTCGCTTTCGTCAGAAGGAGAATTGGGGGAGATGTGGTAAGTCGTGAGGAGGTGTCTCGTACTTTTCCGGTATATGGATACGGTATACGAATGCAACACAGATACAAATACAAATATGGATACGGAATTACGAATACTATGGGAATACAATAATATTATATAAAAAGTTACTACTGTATACTTTCAATTTTATTTTTTAAAAATATATATTATACGAGACACTTAAAATTTATTTAATTTTTTTTACTTTAATAAAAAATATATTATATACATAAAAAAAATTATTTATTTGTAATTAATTTATATTAATTATATATAAATATTTTTATTTTTATTTATTTGTATTATATAAGTATTTTTTACAAAATAATATTCATATGATATATATTTAGCAAAATATAATTATTGAAATAATTAAACATATATTTTAATTTTTTAAAAATTTTTATACTATCTCATTTTGCTCACAAATTATACATGTTTCTATTTTGAATTGTATTATTTCAAAAATATTATATTTTCTACAAATACTCTATTTTACCATCATATTATTACTTTTGTTATTTATCTTTGAGATTATAGATTGAGGGTGTTGCCTCACGTACTAAAAAAATACTCTGCAACGACCGTAGATTTGACAGCAGAATCTCGACTTCAAATCGCTTGCGCTTGGTGTAGGCAAGACCACTTTGACCGACGTGTTCTCTCAATTTCTTATTTCTCTTCTCCTCTTCTACCGACACATCTGTGAAATTCATTATTTTGTCTCTCTGGAAAGAATCTCGTATTGACGAGTGTGAACTATGATGTCGAGGTTGTCTAGTTCCCGCAACACCGAGGAAGGGATTCCGCCGAATGGTTTAAACAAAGGTAAGGATTTGGGGACAAATTACAATTATACAGTGTGTCAAATATAATTTTTGTCTGATAGGAAAAAAAAATAAAAATTTCTATATGCAATTTTTTGTTAGGGTTCTTCGATTGAGAAATGGTTTGCATTATTGATTTGGGGTTGGTGTCGAAGAATAAAATTTGCTATTTAAAATGAACACGTTCTATTTAATTTGAGGAGACACAAAGAAAAAATGTAAAGAAAAGAAATAGAGAATAATTACTTATTGGAGCATGAAGATTGAATGTGGTTTCAAGGGAGGGAAGTCTCTCCAATGCTGATGTTGTCGGACTCAGGAGGGCAGTAGAATGAGAGTTTGAGATAAAAAATTTGTAAATAATAACTGTGAGTAAAATATAATTGGAGAAGAGTTTGATGATTTTGACACGTCCTGGCGAGAGGGTCTGAACAAAGGCATTGAATACAAGTTTCCATGGTGTCTGCTCTTAGAAAGCAGCACTGATAACAACAATAATGAGATTTGTTTGGTAGCAAGGTATGCCTTTTCTTTTTATGTTTTTTAGGGTATGTTTGATTCAAATGAATATAAGGAAGAAAAGAAATTTAATAGATAATGGAATTGTCACTCTAAATCTTTCTAATTTATCTGGTCTATCATATCCAATTAAAACATCTGTAATTGTTATTATTACTACTATTGTTTATTTTATTTAATACCAAAATCTAAATTTATTTTATTTATAAATTGGTCTTTATTATAGTATTCATTTTTTTTTAAATTTTTTTTTTCCCGCCTCAACCTTTTAAGATCGAAAAACACTCAATAATCATAATTATGGATGAAAAGAGCTAAGACAAATTTCTCAAACTTCGCAACTATCTTCCGTCGCTTACTTATCAATTTATACCAAATTTAATAATCATTTTATTCCTTTTTTGTTATGCTACATTGTTGATTATATTGTGTATATTCTTCGACATGTTGGAAAAATTAAAAAATATTTATTTTTTTTAGACTTTAAAATCGTTTTTTCTTTTTTTTGCTTTTGAACAAAATATATTAAATGCTGACCGACTAACTCATTTCATTGTTTTATTAAATTCATTATTATTATTATTATTATTATTATTATTTATTTTTATTGTGAGGTCTGTTATTGTAGGCAGGCTTGATTCCTTCTCTTTATTATTTTGTATTTTGATTATACTTTCATATTGTGCATATTTATTAGTAATGTATATATATTATATATAATAAAAATTGATGAGTTACTAATGATTAAGTATTCGTCTTCTAGATTTTACGAATATGAAAATTAGTGCTGAAACGAATAATCATCATATTTTTTCTACAGAAATACAACAGATTAGAATGAAGTTTGAGAATGGAGAAGAAAACATTTTAGTTTTACTCAACCTATGCTAAGAAAATATATTTTATATAAAAAGACGCAAAATGCATAGAGATCAAGTAAAAAATATAAAATTCATAATAATTTTTGTTGTACCAAAAGTATATGGGGAGAAGATAAAAAAAATTATTAATATGAAAACTCCACGAACAATAACAGGAATTAAGTATAAAACTATGATAAAAATTCAATTGAAAGAGAACGATAAATACAAACTATTTAAGTTTATATTTAAACACACATATCAACTAACCACTATCCAAAAAGTTTATTTTCTTTTTTGATAATAGATTAAGCTCATGTTGCTCGAATCGATGTGGCTTAACATGTAGAGACTTGCTCCAAAAGTCTCACATGATTTAATGATTAAAAAAAATGAAAATTAAGATAACTTAAAATTTATCAAGTAAGATCTTAAAGATTTAAGAGGACACAATATAAAAAGTCGAGGATATTAAAAAAGTCCTAAAATATTTGCAAAGATTGCAAAATAAAGACCTATATAACTTAAAATTTATCAAGTGGGATTAACATGCTATTATTACAAGCATATTTTGGATTAATGACAAAATTCAGATAATATTGATTTTAAAGACACAACTTCTTTGAAAGAAAATCGTACGTTGATTTTATTTGTTGGTGTTAATCACCACAAACAAGCAATAATTTTTTTAATAAAATTGACTATAATTTTAATAGATAAAGATCCAACTATAATTGACTATAATTTTAATAGATAAAGATCCAACTATAGCAAATACATTACAGGTTTTGTATTAGGCACTAATAGTTCAATTTACTTTTTTACATTACTTTTACCTTAATATCACATTATTTTTACTTTAATTTTACGAATATAATAAATATTATAATATTTTATTACACTATAAATCCATATAATATTAATTTACTTTAATCACAGTACAAAATCAAATAAAAAATTTACTGATAAAAAAAAGTATATTTTGAGCATAAACAATAACTCATCCTCTTATTTCTTATTGCATTTAGACAGTAGTATGTTGTACTAAGTTCAGTCTTTTCATGTAGGAAATGATGTCTGTACTTTTGATCTCATTTGATCTGTGTTCTTAAAAATTATCGATCTTCACATGGCAATAAAACAGACCAACAAACACCCTTACCTTGGTAATAATACAAACACGTCCATGGTAATAACAATAATAATTCCAATTAATTAATTAATTGTCCGTTACCTTAGTTTCCTGATTCACTAGGACTACACTACACTTGCTCTCCAGCCCTACCACAACCACACTTATATTGTCACGGCTGCCCCGCCCCATGGCTAGCTCCGCCAACACTGCGGCCGCCTCCGCCGCCGGGCTGGTGGCGATACTCACTCCGGCGGCGGCGGCGGTCCTCCTCCTGCTCGTCCTCCGCCGTATCTGGCCGAACAAACACCGCCGAACAACCTGGCATGCAAGATCATTCGAAACCACATCCCATAATCCGTCACTTGCTAATATCACAAACTCATCCTTGTCTGTTCGTTCCAATACTCTTACTTCCGGCTCTGGAATCACGTACGGCTTCAGATAATAGTCTCCTGCAGCAGAAACCGCCATTTTTGAATTGAAATCGTGAAAAACCTATAAGGTTCTAGATGTGTGTAGTAACCGCCATTTTTGAGCTGAAATCGCTATAAATCTAGAAGTTTCTAGATGTGTGTTTTACCTATGGATCTGGATGTGGCCAGGACGCCGAGGACTCGTTCGCCGTTCCAGTTGATGACCTTACCGCCGGAGATTTCGATTCTCTCTAATTCGTCGGGTCTGTCAGGCTGCGGAGCAGAAAATTAAGCAGCAATGGTGATTAAGTGTGGTTGCCTGCTCGTTGAGATTCGTGTGCAGAAAGGTACGCGATTATTAGCAGCGTAGAGTAATAGATGATTATCAAGTGATTTATCCGATTTCGTGGTGTTTATGGTGTTTATTTCGTGATTTGGAGTAGTTTTTGGTGGAAAATTTTCTGAATCGTTTGTTAGTTTGGAGTTCTGTTTGAGGAATTTTCACGTGTTTGTTACCTTGTGGTCGTCGGATAATTGTACGGCGGCGCCGCCGCGGGAGAGGACGGCTCTGGAGTCGCCGCAGTTGGCGATTACCACCTCCGTCTCGCCTACCACCGCCACAACCGCCGTCGTACCCATAGTCGCCACCGCCGCGCCGCTCTTATTCACCTCTTCATCCATCTTCTTAAATCCGGCGGTAACCGTCTTCTCCCAGTCTATTTCGCCGCCGCCGCCGCCGCCGCTAGTTTCGTCTTCCTCCACAACTCCGGCGAGCACCTTGTGCAGCATCACGCCGCACTCGTGCGCGACGCGGCGTCCGCCATGGCCGTCGTAGACGCCGAAGAAATCGTAGCTCCGACCGCCTATTTTCAGAAAACCTAATTCCGCCGTCGCCACATCCTCCATCTCCCTCCTACGACCGATGATCGACACCATTCCGTGCGACGCGGTCGCCGCCTCCGATCCGGAGCATCCGCCGTCGATCTCCGATGACTTCTCCTCAGTCGTCGTCTCCTCCTCCCCTTCCGATCGCTTTCGATTCACCGATTCATCTCTAAACAATAGATCTTCTTCCGATTTACTGGCGGAGAGCGACCTGCTAAATCGCCGGAGCTCCATCCTTTTCCGGCGAAAGCTTCTCGTCCTCCTGGCTTCATTATCCCCCAAATCTCCATCCTCAACCTTGGAATCCGACAGCGACTTAAGCCGTCGGCAACTCTCCTCCGGCGCCGGAGATCTCTGCCTCAAACTCCCAAAAATCATCTCCGATGGGGAGCAAAAACCGGCACGGAACACGAAAAGCGCTGCATGAGATTGAAAAAAATGCAGTAGTGAGTTTAGAAGCGGAATCTGAACCGTCCAGCAATAAATACGACGGAGCGGCGGATCGGCGCCACGTGTTAAGGATCCGGCGGGGGCGTACGTGTGCGGCTGCCATTGGTTGAGAGGACACGTGGCGCGTGGATTTGGTAGGGAGAGGGACAGAGTGTAGGCTGTAGCGATAGGGAGAGAGGACACGTGGCGCGTGGGCGTGACGAGAGGAAGTACGTTTAATGCATGGGATGGGAAGATTTTGGGATGTTGACCACTTGGACGGGTAAGCCGACACGTGTCTCACAACTCTCTCTCACCTCGTACCTCGTGTCACACTACTGTCCTAACTTTAATTAATTGAAGGCATTTTTCCTTTCATTTAATTTAATTTAATTTATTGAAACTGGGAAGATGGTGTATATGATCCATGGAATGTGTGTGTATATGTCAGTGAGATATTTTTCACTTAAATTTATAATTTTATGATAGTTCCATTGAGTTCCATTTTATTTTCATGTACTGTTTAAAAGACAACGAAAATGATATTTTGATGGTGGTTCTTTTGATTTACATCGAAAATATTTGTTTGACTTTTTATATTTAGATAAGTATTTTCTCCATCATCTAAAATTAAGTAGTAAAAGTAATTTTTTTCTTTTATAATATAAAAATAAAAAGAAACAAATAAAGTAATAATATTTTGGACAACTAAAACAAATAACATAAATTTGAATGATACTGAGAATTTATAAAATTTTGTAAGATAAAAAATATTAAAGTCTCTTATATATTTCAACTAATTAATAAAATATTATTGTTTATTAATTTATTATAAAATTTAAATGGTAAATATTATTGTTTATTAATTTATTATAAAATTTAAATGGTTTTTTAGGATCGAGTCGGAGGGAATATATTTCATGGAGACGTAAGACATGTTTGATTATACTTTGAGTTAATACTCTTAAAACGGTTGTCTTGTTTTTCTATTTTTGTCTATTCCAAAATAATTGACATGTTTTCTTATTTAGTAAATATGGTCTCCACAAAATTATTCATATTTTTTAAACTATCACTAATTATTACTCTAACTTACTTTTTAAAATCTTTCAAAATGTAAAACGTAAGGGCATTTTGTAAGAGAAAAAATTAATTTTTTTTTGTCTTAAATCAAATAGATCTTTTGAAGTTTTATAATAGATTAAAAAATAATAGAATTTTATTAGTTAGTGGAAATATATGAGTTTATTTTTTTTTACATTTTTTGCCTTTTACGTATTATAACGTAATTGTATATTGAATGGTATATTTGTAGTTTAAATAGAAATTTAGAATATTTTGGTAATAGTGTATGTATATCTTTTTTAAAATAAAAATTAGATACTTTGATTAGTACAAACGAAAATAATAAAAAATGTATTTTGAATTAAGATGGAAGGGGTAATACTTTTTCCTGGCAGCATATGTAAAAAAGTGTGTTGATAGTAATGTGTAATTATTTTGATAAAAAAAATATTTTTGAATGGACATATAAACGCGGGCGCCAGCTAGTATGAAAATTTTGAAAAATTTAGAAACTAATTACTACGGACTTAGTCCAAATACGGATCACTTTGTGATTTAATATTGAATGAGACCAACAAAGTTAGTTTTTGCTCTAATTTTAAAATATTCATAAAACACACAATAAGATATAAACTGAGTATAATTAAAACAATATATTGTCTGTCATTTTTAATATACTAATTAAAATTAATCACCAATAATCATTGCAAGAGCAAACCCCATCCTTAAAATGATGAAACCTATTTGAATCCCTAACCACAATCTCCCTATCCCCAATCACCATCGACACATACTTCATTGCATTGTGACAATCCCCACAAACCCTAAGGTTCTTGAATATCCTTATTACCTTCTTATCTTTACTTGTCCGAATCAGTCCGTAAGCCAATGCCAATTTCTCACTATGCTGCCCTAAATACTTTTCCTTTGTCTCCTCATCCTCTACCTTATGCAACACAAAATTCGTGTCCGGAACATATCCAATTCCTCTAATCTTTTCCATCAACTCTTCGATCTTTTCATATATCGCCACCGCGTCCCGATGCGCCGTGTCGCCGACGTAGAACCGGTGAACCGTTCCGGACGCTTCGATCCAGCTGCACCCGCCCTCCTTCGCGATTCCGAGCTCCTTCATCGATTTCCGGACCCTCGCCACCTCGGCCCATTTCCCAGCCGAGGCGTAGAGGTTCGATAGAAGAACGTACGTCGACGGATCGACGGTTCCGTTCCTCTTGTTGATTTCGATGATTGTCTCAGCGGCGCGCTCGCCGCGCTCGGCGTCGTTGTGTACGACACACGCGCCGAGGAGCGTTCGCCAGATTAGGGCGTCGGCGGGGTACGGCATCGAGGCAATGAATTCGGTCGCTTCGTCGAGATTTCCGGAGCGGCCGAGGATGTCGACCATGCACGCGTAGTGCTCGCGTGTAGGGGTTATTCCGTGTCGGGTTTGCATGGAGTTGAAGTGGTTGCGGCCTTCAGTTGTGAGCCCGGCGTGGCTGCACGCGGAGAGGACGGCGATGTAGGTGATCTCGTTCGGTCGGACATCGGAGTCGAGCATTCGGTCGAATAAGTCGAGCGCCGTTTCGGCAAGTCCGTGCTTTGCGAATCCCGTTATGATCGCCGTCCACGATACGACGTTGCGGTCGTTCATTTTGTTGAATACTTGAAACCCGGCTTCGATGTCGCCGCACCGCGTGTACATCGAGATAAGCGCATTGCACGCGCTTACGTTGGTTTCGAGCCCGGATTTTAGTAACCGGGCGTGTAGTTGCTCGCCTTTACTGAGCGCGCCGATGCTCGCGGCGCCGCTTAAAAGACTCGTGAACGTAAAAGAATCGACGATAATCGTAGAATTGAAAAGCGCGAACGCCTCTTCGTCAGAATTCGGGCTTTTAATATACCCGTCGACCATAGCGTTGTAAGAGACGAGATTCTTGTCGAACAAGAATTCGAAGGCTCTCCGCGCATCGTCGATCCGGTCGCACTTGGAATACATACTAATCAACGAATTACCGATGCAGCTAATCGAAGCGACTCCCGCCTTAACAGCACGGCCGTGAATTTGCTCGCCTAATCCCCGGTCGAAAAGATTGCTGCACGCTTTCAACAAGGCGGAAAACGTGAAATGATTCGGCTCGACACGACCCTCGGTTATCATCCGGATATACATAGCGACGGCTTCGCCGTCGCCGTTCCCGGTTTGGACATATCCCGTGATGAGCGCCGTCCACGACATTACGTTGTGCTCAGGCAATGCGTCGAAAACTTTCCTCGACTCATCGATTGATCCCGACTTGGCGTATGCGTCGACTAAACTACATCCGACGTAGACGTCCCGAGAAAGATCGTTCTTGATGACCCATGTATGCATTTGCCAGACGAGTTGATACGAACCGAGCTCCGAGCAGGCCGAGAGACAACTACTGAACGTAAAGCGATCGGCGACGTTGCCGGAGCCGATCATGTCGAGAAATAAGGTGATTGCTGCTCCGGCGGAGCCTAATTGTGTGGACCTTGTCATCATTAAAGTCCAAGCCACGGTGTTCTTATTAGGCATTTCGTCGAACACCTTCCGTGCAGAAGTTAAATCCTCAAAGCCTCTGCTGAACAGATCAATTAGAGCGGAGCCTACGCAGACGTCGGAATCGAAGAATCCTGTTTTCATCAGAAATCCGAATATTGTCAATCCGATCGTCGCGTGCTGTGGATTCGAACAAGCTCGAATCGCAGCGGAGAAGGTGTATTCGTTGGGGAGTTTCTCAAACCCTAGCATTTGAACGAACGCTGCAATGGCTGCCGAATTCAATCCGTTGTGCGCGTAGCACGAGATCATGGCGCTCCAGGAGACTAAATCCTTGAGCTCGTCCTCCATGGAAGCGAAGATCTCCTCCGCCTTCCTCCAGTCGCCGCTTTTGGAGTAGAGAGTGATGAGCGAATTGAGGACGATGGAATCAAGGTCGAGGCGTGAATCGACGATTCTGGAATGGATCAATCGACCGAGGTCGTAGTTGCCGGTGCGGATGCAGGATTTCAGGAGCACCGAGTAGGCGGTCAGATCGGGGGTGAGATTGGACCGGAACATCGAATCGAGAGTGGAGATTGCTTCCCGGATGCGACCGCCATTTGCTTGACGGATAAGATCGTCTTTCAGCGATTCGTAATTTAGGCTCCTCTGCGGATGTCGAGCAGAAGTGTATCCATGACGGTTAGGTTTCACTTTCAGTTTCACTGCAGCAGAGACGGTCGGAGATGGAAGACACACAACAACCGCCGCTGCCATATCTCTACAGGAAAATCAACGGTTAGCACTTTAAATTCACACTACATCATATCCACACAAACAAACAAACGCACAAAATCAATACATCCTTTCTGGCGTCGTCTTCAACTCAACCGTTGTTTGAATTTAGTGTTTCTTCAAGTAGGAAAATTCCAATTTGACTTGATAATGTTGAAATTGGTAGCTCATTCAATGGATTATGGTTATTTCACAATCGAACACTTATTGGTAGAGAATCTCTCATACTCCTAACTCTAGGCTAGGGTTTGGTTTATCACTCACTACACATAATTTTTAATTTTGGGGAAAATCAAAATCAAAATTAACTACAATTCCTATACAATAATATATATGATACACATCCAACCACAAATTCCTTCCAGATTATTAATTAATTTATACATTCTTCGCTCACTCAGGCTATGCTATGGATTCTACAGCTTGACTTTTATCTTCTTCGTCCGCCATGGAAGCACCTTCTTGCTGCTTTCTTCTTCTGGACCGCAGAACGGCAACAGCAAATGAAACTCCACACAAGCATCTCAGCAGTAAGATTCCACCTAGGAAGAAGACCAAAATTCAACAGGTTAGTGGATTTATCATTAACAAATTCATCTGGATTGAATTGAATCTTACCTATGGCAGGAAGGATGATCAGAAAAATATAAGCTGCAATTAAGAAGAAACAAAAGAAAGAATCAATCAACATTCAAAGAGCTAACAATTCAAACAAGAAATCCAATCAATTTGGAGGGATCATCTCACGGTAATAGTACTCCAATTTGCCTGCAAAAATCGGAGAAGAAAGTTACAGTCTTTATCCATTTAAGATGAATAGATTTGAAGGATATGAAGATCAAGAACATCATCACTTACATCGAAAGCTTCGTTCCGATAACGGCGTATGTTCGAAGCAATAATGCCGGCATCGAACCTTGCCGTTCTCCACCGAGCATCTCCCATTGGCAGGATTGCAGTCCCCGCAATAAACTTGATACCACGAGAACTCGAATCCATGCGACAAAAAGTCGTGGATGGTCGAATATGGATAGGTCCGAACCTCAAAAGGGGTCGCCGACGACGCATGAACCTCCTTATCCACGACACAAGACTTATCCAAGTTGTTGTACGCATTGACATTCTCTGCGACGTAGCCATAAACCTGCGAAGCGTTTGGGAACGCGGTGGCATTGCCGCAGCTAGGATTCGCGACGTACGCCGGATTGTTCACCGGTCGGGAGCAAGTGATGAACGCAAAATATATGTTGTAGATGTAAACAGAGGTCATGTATTGGGAAGAGTTGCCGTAGTCGAGGGAGGGGTAGGTCGGGCATGTGGAGTAGTTTCCGGGGGTGATCCCGGGATCGGTGAGCCTAATGGAATAGTTGCCGTAGGTGATCGCTTGCACGTTGTAATGCTGCGATCCTATGGTGATGATTGGGCTATTGGTATGGCATTCGAGGGCGAAGAACGGGTCTGGGAAGCCGCAGTCGGGCGGGTCGGACCGGAGTCGGAAAGGGTAGGTGATGGTGGTTGTTCCGCAAGAAGAAGTGGTACAAAGGGATGTGTTGTGAGGTTTTTGGGCATGGGAGGTTAGGAGAAGGATTGGGAGAGATAGGAATGCTAATAATAAGAGGGTTCTTGGAGGCATTTTGTCGAATAGTTTGTTTGTGTGCAATTGGTGTTCAAAAGGCTATGAAGGTTTGTTAATATATGTTTTTGTAGAAAAGGGGTCTTGTAGGGTGGGTGGTTTGAATGGATTGTTGACGTGTTGAATATATAGTGGTAGGGAAGAAAGGATCTGGGGCGTTGATTGACAATGAACGGTGAGGATTGACGGCCGCGTCAGAATTGGCGGCGGAGGAAACATGTTAAAATTAACATTTATAATATATATAAATAGCACAAATATATTTATTATATATTTAGATTTTTTAAATTAGTGTATATGTAAATAGCATATTTTTATTATACACAAATATAATAAAAATATGTGATATTTGTTCTTACATGTCAATCAGCATCTATAATATATGTAAATAGTATATATTTTTATTACATACAAGACAAGACAGCTATTTTTTCATAATAATATATGTATACTATATAAAAATATATTATATTCTAAAATTAATTATTGTTATTATAACATATATATATATATATTGTATTTATATTAACATTATACGATGCGCTGTTTTGGATATGAAATGCACCTAAGAACAACGACTGGTTGGCCCACGCCACTTGTGCTCGTTTTAGTATTATTTATTAATTAAACAAACATTTATTATTAAAATATAATTATATTATGTTATGTTAATGCTCCATTAAACTACTATTAAATATATATATATAGCATATCTGTCTTGTCTTAATTATTGACCGGATCAAATCATCACAAATATTAAACACAAATGAACACACGCTAAACACTGTACATTATTATTACTAGGTACCAACCACCATAGTCATTACCATTTACCAATATTTCTTATTTAGAACGAACAGAGAAAAAACAAATGCATAACGAAACAAATCCTAAATCCTCCTTCGTTCCCTCTCTCTTTCAACAAACAAACAAGTGAACACACAAGGCAAGGCAGCTAAAGCTAATTCAAATTCAGACAGAGCATACCTTCTTTAATTTCATTTCATGTCATCACTCTCTCCCTATTGCTGTCCTGTTGGCTCTCAACACATTCCGCCGCCGCATCACCGCCCTCCGCCGCCATCAGATACTTGTCGACTTGTGCCGCCGCCTGTCTTCCCTCTGATATCGCCCACACCACCAGCGATTGTCCCCTCCGGCAATCCCCCGCAGCAAACACCCCTTCCACATTCGTCGAGAATCGCCCGTACTCCGCCTTGAAGTTCGACCGCGCATCTTGCTCCAATCCCAGTTTCTCCGCCAGCGTCTGAATAATCGACAAAAAAAAAAAAAACACGTTACATCAACTATTTTATTGTAATTTTCTTTCATTGCATTGTATCGCTGACCTGTTCCGGGCCGAGGAATCCCATCGCCAGCAGCACCAGATCCGCCTCGATAATTTCCGCAGAACCTTCGACTTCCTTGAATTGGAATTTCCCGCTGGCATCCTTCTCCCAACTGACATGGACAACCTCGACCCCCTTGACGACGCCGTTCTCATCTCCTATGAAGCGCTTTGTCAGCACTTCGTACGATCTCGGATCCTTACCGAATTTGGTCGCAGCTTCTTGGTGTCCGTAGTCCACACGGAATACACGAGGCCACTGTCAAAACATTCGACGCATTTTTTTTATTGACGGGCATTTATTTCAACCGAGATATAAATAGCTCAAGAGCGCGAGTCGAACCTGAGGCCACGGGTTGTTGGGAGCTCTCGTCCGTGGCGGCTCGGGAAGAAGCTCGAGGTTTACGATGTTACTGCAGCCGTGTCTAATCGATGTGCCGATGCAGTCCGTGCCGGTGTCACCTCCGCCTATCACGACGACTTTCTTGCCCTTAGCCGAAATGTACTTACCGTCCTGAAGGTTGCTGTCGAGCAAACTTTTCGTGTTGGCGTGTAGGAATTCCATGGCGAAGTGGACTCCGGAGAGGTCTCGTCCCGGAACAGGGAGATCCCTACAAAATTAAAAGTTTTCGATTCGGCAAATTTCTCAACGAGTTTATTTATTTAGAATCGGAGATCGAGGGGAGGGGTTATTATAGCGCACCTCGGTTTTGTGGCGCCTACGGCCAAAACAATGGCATCGTGATCCTCACGAAGCTGATTGAGCGAATACGAAGGGTCTTTTCCAACGTTAGCATTGACGACAAATTTGACTCCTTCCTTTTCCATGAGGTCGACCCGTCTCTGCACTATATCGACTTTATCGGCCTTCATGTTTGGCACGCCGTACATCATTAGACCGCCAATTCTGTCGGCACGCTCAAACACTGTCACGGCATGACCCATTTTGTTTAGCTGATCGGCAGCAGCCAAGCCGGCAGGGCCACTTCCGATAACAGCGACACTTCTCCTGATAGAGAGACGAGACGGGATAAACCAACATTCATTTTGAAATTCACTTCATACACATCGGAAAATAAAATACAGTAAAAATTTACCCGGTTCTCTTGGCAGGGGGTCGTGGCACCATCCAGCCTTCCTCGAAAGCTTTATCAATGATGGAACACTCGATACTCTTGATAGAGACGGGATTTTCTATGATGCCGAGTACGCAAGAACCTTCACAAGGAGCAGGGCAAACGCGGCCTGTAAACTCAGGGAAGTTGTTCGTCTCCAAAAGTCTGTCCAACGCTTCGCGCCATCTGTTCTGATAAACCAACTCGTTGAATTCGGGTATCTTGTTCCCGAGAGGGCATCCCGAGTTCTCCTGCAAGGTTGCATTCTCTTTAAGCCGCATCTTTCGACAGAAAAGAGTAATAACACCTCGATAAATGCTCGACAAAAACTTTGCTTACCTGATGACAAAATGGCGTACCACAATCCATACACCGAGCAGACTGGGTTTTCAACAGTGGCCCAGGTTTAGACTCTTCCATAACTTCATTCCAGTCATTGATCCGAGCGTTTGGATCCCTGTATGAAACGCCTTCTCGCTCATAAGCTACGAAGCCCCGATGCTTGACAGCATCATCAACCTTGGAAGGTCTCTTTAATGGCTCATCTTGTGTAGGTCTCTTTACCTGCTCACCTTGTTCAACCTATTCATTCGGAAAATCCGGTTAGAAAATGTCACAGCACTATTTCCTATTGTAAAGTTCAATTGCGGAAGAAAGACGAATTACCCGAGTTGGATTGTTATTAGCAGTCGCAGCAGCCATTTTCTTGAGCTCTTCGAAAGCGTCCTTTTCCAATAACACTTCCTCTTCTTTCACATCCGCTTCTTTTGCGGCCTTTTTCGCGGCTGCTTCCACGGTTTTCTTGCTCGCCAGAATGCGCTTGTAGTCGCGAGGGAAGACCTTGATGAATCTTGGTAACAGAGAGTCAAAATCGGCGAGCACTTCTTTAGCTAGTAGGCTTCCCGTGTGGCGCTGATGCTGCTGAATCATCATTCGGAGCGTCATAATGTCATCCTCCTCTTCAACCGGATCAAGATCGACCAACTCCGCATTGCATCGCGATCGGAAAGTGGAATCAACATCAAGAACATAAGCAATGCCTCCACTCATCCCAGCTGCAAAGTTTCTTCCAGTCCTGCCAAGTACGACGACAGTTCCGCCAGTCATGTACTCGCATCCATGATCGCCCACACCTTCCACAACAGCTTTAGCCCCGGAATTACGAACTGCAAATCTTTCCGCAGCCATTCCGTTGAAATACGCCTCTCCGCTTGTGGACCCATAAAGTGCTACATTTCCAATGACAATGTTCTCTTTCGGATCAAATTTGCTGCCTCTAGGGGGGTAAACAATTATTTTACCTCCGGATAAACCTTTCCCAACATAATCGTTGCTGTCTCCTTCAAGCTCCAATGTGATGCCGGGGCACAGAAACGCGCCAAGGCTCTGTCCAGCACTTCCGCTGAGCTTTAAATGGATTGTGTCCGAAGGAAGTCCTGCCAGATGGTAGCGTTTCGTCACGTTGTGGCTTAACATAGTTCCAACAGCTCGATTTACATTGCAGATGAGCGATTCGATGTACACTGGAAGACCCTTATCCAAGGCAGGCTTAGCTAAAGATATCAGTTTGTTATCCAAAGCCATATCCAAACCGTGATCCTGTTTCTGCACACAGTATTGCGCAGCATTGGGTCTGATATCAGCAGCCGGTCGAAGCAATAGGGATAAATCAATGTGCTTGAGCTTCTCGTTATTATTGGCCACTTCATAATCCAGTTCAAGCATGTCTGACCTACCGACCATTTCGTTCAGTGTTCGAAACCCAAGTTGAGACATGATTTCCCTGACTTCTTCGGCCAACATGAAGAAGAAATTGATGACGTGCTCTGGCTCACCGGCAAATTTTGCCCTGAGAACTGGATCTTGAGTTGCAATACCAACAGGGCATGTATTTTTGTGACATTTCCGCATCATGATGCAGCCGAGTGTAATAAGAGGAGCAGTGCTAAAACCAAACTCCTCTGCACCAAGCAGAGCAGCAATGGCGACATCTCTTCCAGTTTTCAGTTGCCCATCAGTTTGAAGGACAGTCCGACCACGAAGATCATTAGCAACCAAGGTTTGGTGGGTCTCTGCAAGACCGAGCTCCCATGGAAGACCGGCATTCTTTATTCCAGTCCATCTTGCAGCTCCTGTACCTCCATCGTGACCAGAGATCAAGACATGATCGGCGTGACCCTTGACAACACCTGCAGCTATCACTCCAACGCCAGCTTCAGAAACCAATTTCACACTTACACGAGCATCCGGATTGGCATTCTACAAACAAGGAAGAAAACAATCAACTGCTAGCATAATACAAGAAGAACCATGATGCAAGATTAGTCACAACGGATAGCCACAGAATTCAACGGCAAGATGATGAACAACTACCTTGAGGTCGTGAATCAATTGTGCGAGATCTTCAATCGAATAGATGTCATGATGGGGAGGAGGACTAATGAGCCCCACTCCAGCTGTTGAATTCCTAGTCACAGCAATATCACCAATGACCTTGTGTCCTGGAAGTTCACCCCCTTCACCAGGTTTTGCTCCCTGTCGAATCAAAATTCCAATATTAGAAAGATTAACAAATACGTGCCAAAAGCATGTAAAATATACATTCTCACCAAATGTCAAATGTAGGTTACATTTAAGGATGCAAAGACACTATAAGGTGCTTTGCTGACACGGCATCATCTGTCCATGAATGCAAATCCATAAACAACAAGAACCTTTGTTTCAATGCAAGCATATGAAACAAGAGGGACAATACAGCACATACCATAAAATAGCATGTCGTAATAGAAAGGTGAAGTACCTGAGCCATTTTTATCTGTAACTCATCTGCATTTGTAAGATAATAGCTAGAAACTCCGAATCTTCCACTGGCAACCTGTTTAATAGCACTCCTCTTTGGATTTCTTGAACCATCAGGAAGAGGCTCCATGCGGGATGGTTGCTCGCCTCCCTCACCTATCCAAGGGGGAAAAGATCAAGAAAATTCAAATTTGAAAAAAAAATAAGGTGCTTCATTTGCCCTTACACAGAAAATTATAAGTAATAAATAAGCATACCAGTGTTTGACTTGCCCCCAATTTTGTTCATTGCCATGGCAAGAGTTGTATGTGCTTCCAGCGATATCGAACCATAACTCATGGCACCAGTACAAAAGCGTTTTACAATCTCACTTGCCGGTTCGACTTCATCCAAAGGAATCTTTACTTCAGCCTCTTTAAATCGCATTAGTCCTCTCAAGTTGCAGGACTTATTTAACTCCTGGATACGCTTAGAGTACTCTTTGTACGCTGCTACACTGTTGGATCTGGCAGCATCTTGTAACTTTGCAATGGCCAGGGGATCATTAAGATGGACTTCACCACCTTTTCTCCAGTGATACTCTCCAGGATTTGGGAGTGCAACAGCCTCGGCGCTACCAAGTGGCAAGGCACGGGTTGGGAAAGCCAGCTCATGCAGGTTAAATGCATCTTCTGCAAGATTTTCAAAAGTGGCACCCTCCACTCTACTCGGAGTTCCCTTGAAGCACCGCTCCATCACCTCTGAAGAAAGACCCACAGCCTCAAAGATCTGCGCTCCCTTGTACGATGCCAAAGTTGAGATACCCATTTTGGCAAGGACTTTCATCATTCCATAGTTGCTAGCTTTAAAATATTTTTTCACAAGCTCCTCCTTTGTGTGGAATTCACCTGCTGCTTTAGGTGGAATTTTTCCATCAACTTGCAATCTCCAAATGGCTTCAACTGCCAAATACGGGCAGATAGCATCCGCACCAAATCCTACAAGTGTACAGAAATGATGCACTTCACGAGGTTCCGCAGATTCAACAATCAGTGCAACACGAGTTCGCTCCAGATTATTCACAAGATGATGGTGTACAGCACCAACAGCCAGGAGGGAGCTGACTGCAACACGCTTTGACGAGAAGGCTACAGAAATATAGGATAAAACATTAGATTGATCAAGTATCATAGTTCCAAACATACAGTATCAAGGTAAATGCTGTTCTAATGATAGTTCCATGGTTCAGAATAATACCTCTATCAGAGAGCACTAGTGTAGTATAACCTTCCTGGATTGCATCATGTGCTTCATTACATATTCTGTCTAAAGTCTTCTCCAATCCCTTCCTACCAAGATCCTTTGAGTAGGTAATATCAACAACTTTGCTTCGCCAGCCCCGGTAGTTCATCTTTTTCATTGCTTCCATTTCTTCAATGGAGAGCAAAGGTCCTTTAAGTGACAACCGGTGGCACTGTTCTGCTGTGGTCTCTGTAAGATCTCCTTCCGGGCCAATCATGCATTCCATGGAAGTAACAATCTTCTCCCGTATAGGATCAATAGGAGGGTTTGTGACTTGAGCGAACAGCTGTTTGAAATATTCGAATGTTAGTTTTTCTCTGTTCGACATCACTGCCAGAGGAGCATCATTTCCCATCGAACCTAGGGCCTCCATGCCATCTTTTGCCATAGGGAGCAACAGCATCTCCAAGGACTCAACAGTGTAGCTGCACAGAAACAATAATTATTCTCTTGTTTGGTAACATTAAAAAATTAATAAATGTATATATATATATATATTGCATTTAGCATAAGAGTACATACCCAAATGCCTTTAATGGTGACAACAATCCATGAATTCCCATGTTCTCCATATTTTCATCTTCAGCAGATGCCTAAAAATCAGAATGCAATTACCCATGTTAGTCTGTGAAAATGAATAAAATCGTCAATAATGGAGAACTTGTGGCAATGTACTGACATCCAAAACACCGGCTATAGAAGGAGGTATCCTATCAGAATCCCTAACAGAGTCAACGATGTCTTTCAACTGGAGCTTTTGCCTCTGGAGCCACTCTTCATAGGGTCTTGCTAGTGAATATTGTTGCTTCAAGGCTTCGTCATCTACAACAACATGCTTCTCAAAGTCCACAAGAAGCATCATACCAGGATTTAATCTTCCTTTCCTGGATACATCTTCCGGGGGAACATCAACAACACCTACTTCGCTTGCCATGATAACCCTGCCACTGTGTGTTATGTAAAAGCGGCCAGGGCGTAATCCATTCCGATCCAATGTAGCTCCCAGGTATCGTCCATCGGTAACTGAAAATGGAACTAGCATAAGAAGATAGAAGTTTGCACAGTCACACAAAATTATCATCTTCTAGAAACACATACAGGATATAAGAGCAGGTCCATCCCATGGTTCCATCAGAGCAGAAAAATATTCATATAAAGCCTTTCGTTGAGGATCCATGTTCTTATCATTCTGCCACGCTTCTGGAATCATCATCATCATGGCTTCAGGGAGAGGTCTGCCAGCTCTAACTAATAGCTCAAGCACACCGTCAAATGCACCTAAACAAAAAACACAGCAAGCCCAATGAACACCAAATATATTTTTGACACTGCAGAGCATGGTGGTACATAGTCTCGAACCAGCACAATTTTACTCCCATCCAAACTAATTAAGCGAGCATTTATGGTAAGTGAAGAACCTGAATCAGACGAGCTGACATCCACAATTGGCAGCAGCTTCTTCATTTCGGCCTTAGAAAGGCCAAGTTTCTTGCATTTTAGGAGACCCTCTCGAGCCTTCATCCTAAAATTTCCAACCATATGCACATGAGGGGTTAAAGGCGTATACAAATTTAATAGAGAATTGTAAAATCTAAAAGGCTACTTAGATATCTAAAGAAATGAAAATACAAGCGACATTAAACTTAAGCAAGATACCTACCAATTGACGTTACCCCTTAGCGTATTTATTTCTCCATTATGCCCCAGCACACGCATGGGCTGAGCCCGATCCCAGCTAGGAAATGTGTTTGTCGAAAATCTGGAGTGGACCTAAACAAAGAATTCAGAGGAAGAAGATATCACTAAATGTGTATTCACAACTTAGACTGAAGTTTGTTTACAGGGCATCATACACCAAAGCCGTTACAAATCATATAGTGACCCGATAGATTAACTGGACAATCACGATCTCCAATTTACCGTACAATAGGATTTGGTCTTAAAATTGGTTTGTTAGGAGAACGCCAAGTTTCTGCAAACATTATTTATTTCATAATGAGGTTCCTTACCGACTCAACCAAAGAATCCAATCCAGCATCCAAATTCAAATAGTGATCAAGGGTATGGAAGAACTTAAGAGATCATACAGCAATGCTTCAGAAGTCATTCCTCAGCCTTGCATCATTCGTGATCCCATGCTGTTCGTTGCCGAAGTATGGAGTCAGCAGAGAAATTAAACAGAGAATGGATAAAACATTTACCAGGGCCATGTAGCTCGTAAACCTTTCATCACCAAGATCTGCAAAGTAGTACTCCTTCAATTGATTGGGCTTCAACTGACCCTTGTAGACAACAGTCCTGTGAAAAACCGTAAATAAAATTAAAAATTACACAATGACATCGACAGAACAGAGCCCGGGAGCAGACAAACCTTGATGAAAGCGAACAAATATAGAAGTCTTTCACTGCACCGTGCTGAAGGTTCAATGCAGCTCGGATAGCCACCATTGCTACCCTCCTTAAAATGTACATCTGCCAACAACATGCCAAATAAACTATTGAATAACTCTGCAATTTAGAATGATAATTTCAAAACCTGAAATCGTAAATACAACATGCCAAATAAACTATTGAATAACTCTGCAATTTAGAATGATAATTTCAAAACCTGAAATCGTAAATACAACATGCCAAATAAACTATTGAATAACTCTGCAATTTAGAATGATAATTTCAAAACCTGAAATTGTAAATACCTGTTGCTCTAAATCAGCCTTTGACCTCGGACTTGGTGTGAGAAACACTTGCTCAATGATTGGTTCTGTTTCAATGGCAGACTGTCCCAAACCTGAATTATCAGTAGGGACAGGACGCCATCCAAGAACTGTATGGCCAAGTGACTCAGCCACCTATAATTTCATCAGACCAACAAAACATGTGTCAGAAAATTAACCATAGCAGGAAAATCACAAAAGGTGTTGTCCTCCAATTACCTTAGCAAATACAGATTTACTCTGCTCCCTCCGAGACTCCGAAATCGGCAAGAAAAACATGCCGACTGCATACTCTCCGGGTGGGGGCAGCTCAAAACCAGACGCTTTAGCAGCCTGCAAACATTACCTCATAACCATCAACACCAAAATTCAAGATTCGATCGCACTATGCATTGTTAGAAGATGAACTGAGCTCGAATATGACTTAATCCATTTATCTCAACAAATCAGATTTCAACTTCCCTCCATCAAATCTTCATTCAAAATGTCAAATAAACATAAATTCAACTACAGAAACTAGAAGCATAACCATATATCATAATTTTCAAATTCCTTAGATCCAAAGAGTAGAAGAGTATACTTCTTTGAAAAAATCGTGCGGAAGGCCCACGAGTATTCCAGCTCCATCTCCAGTGTTTGTCTCACAACCACACGCCCCTCTGTGCGCCATGCGCACCAACATCTCTATAGCATCGGTAACCTGCTCATCCAAAACACGAATTATCAACAAATACATACATAAAAATAAAAAAAATTAAAAAAAAAAATTTGAAGTGTAAACAATTTGCAAGTGACCAGTACTGTACCGTTTTCCGGCTGCTCTCTCCAGAAAGCTCCGCCACAAACCCCACACCACACGAATCCTTGTCGTATGATGGGTCGTAAAGCCCTACCGGCTTCTCGGGGACCTGCGAGAAAGCATTCTTCACCACCGCCTTCAGCTTCGGAGCCCGGCCCGGCCCGTCCGTACGCCAGAAATGCAAACTCTGCAATCCCGAGGAGAAATCCGAGCCAGTAGCTGCACCAGCGCTCCGCAGCCTCGCGCCGTGAACAAATCTATTGTACAAGTTCACCTTCCTCGGCCTACCCACAAATCCCCGAGAAACCCCAGCCTTACCGCTTAAAGCCGACACAGCATTCAGCTGGTGGCTCCGGGCGCATTTCGGCTTCACCAAACCTCCAACGCCACCGCCACCACCACAGCCGCTGCCGCTGCCTTTAACCTGAATCCCCGATCCAGAAACCGCCGACATATTTCTCTTAACCCCAAATTACCGAAACGGAACGGACTGTAACTTCTCTCAGCTTCTTTTCTTCAAAATTGATATTAATATTTTAGTCAAACAAACACACGAACGTAACCCGTCAGATCTCGGTGAAACTTGAGGAGGTTCAAGCAGTTAGAACCACTGATCTTCAGGAACTGAACGAGCGATCCGAATTTAAACGATCCTGAATCTGAAAAAACGAAGATATAAAAAATTAAATAGCATAAAACCTCACAGAAACAGTCCTTAATATCAACGACGGCGAAGAACACAAGAGCTTCAAAAATCCGTTCTCACATACGGCAAATTAGGGAAAAAAACAGATAAGGATGGCGTGGCTAGGGTTGACAGAGATGCTTACTGAGAAGAACGAAATGAAGAGGAAACCCGCCGCCGTTTGTGGTGGAGGAGTGTGCAAACCGCGATGCCTCGCCGCGCCGATTGGTGTGTCGATTTATAGAATGGGCAAGACTTCTCAAACTGTGTTCTATCATAAATAAATAAATAAAATAAAATAAATAAATATATTTTTTCCACTTATAATGTTCACATTGCGGTTATGGTTACCGTTGGTTACTGTTCCGCATCTCATTTTACTTTTTTATTTTAAAAATAATTATATTTTAAATTTTTTAATTTATAATTCTTTTAAATATAAATAGTTTAATTAAAATTTTAACATTAGTAATTATTTTTATTAATATATTATTTAATAATTATAATTATTTTAAATTATTGTGTCTACGGTAACGGAATCTTAACCGAACATGTTAGGTGTGACTTAGGTGTGACGGAGAGAATAGTATCTATGAAGATGTTTGTTATATTTAATTTTTTAGTTTACAATATTTTTTAGATAAAAAAATTATATCAATAAAATAAAAAATAATATTTTATATTGAATATTAATTTTTTTTATAATAAAACTCATTCTTGGCTAATGTTCGGACATGAAAAGTAAAAAATAATGATCCGTCCTTCCACATATGGTAAAATATTGAGTTTCGGCAATTTAGGTAGGCAATATTAAATATAATAAATTAAAAATTAAGTAGTGTACTAAAAAAAGATGTATATATTTTCTTGGCAGCGGCTACAAAATTTAAAATTCAGCATTTGTGCTAAACAATATATCGTGTCTATTAGACAACACATAATATTACTACAAACAGCACATTGTATATATTAATATAATACAAATACAATACATAAACAAAACACACATGTTATAGTCTCAATAACACACAATATTATTATAGACAACACATTACATGTGTTAATATAATACAAATACAGCATATGAACTAACAAAATATGCTATAGTCTCGTAAAATACACACAACAGTTAATTTTAGTACATGACATACTTGTATACAACACACTTATTATTATTAAAAAAAACACTACATACCTTTATTATACACAGTATGTATGTGTTGTATGCAATAGCAATGTGTGTCGTTTGTATATATAACGAGCGTTGATGTGAAAAATCAACATATTGCTGATATAATCATCCCATTTTTTATTATTTGAGTGATATAATGATAGGAGATATAATTAATTATTTATTTAAAAAATATTATAGAATGTGTAGATAGATAAAGTAAATAAAAAATAAATATACAATTTTTTCATCACATTACTTCATTCTCAATTTACTTTATTTAATATTATTATCCATTTAAATTTTCATGCTGAAAATTAAATATTGCACAATATGTTGGACAGGTTGGGTATATTATTACGACAACAAAAGAAATTCACAACATATCATTCATTTATTGTTTGGTTTACATTTTTAATTTTTACATTATTGTTATTCACCTCTCACAAAATGTTCATAATTTGTTCATCCAATTAATTTTTGTTTGCGATATATTCTTAATATATACTCTATCTGTCCACTTACAAAGTTTATATTTACTTTTGGCAGTGAGTAGTTAAAAATAGTGTAATGACATTTTTGCTCTTATTTTTTTTTTTTTTTGTAAAAGTAATGATGTGATGTATAGTAAAAGTATTTGTGGAAAAAAACAGGGTATTTTATGAAATATTAATTTTGTAATTGAACGTCCCAAAATAAAAATATGTAAACATTCTAGATGGACGAAAAAAGTATAATACATTTCATATATTTTTACAAAAATATTAATATTAAATACAAAAACTATTATTTATACCATCACCAGAATATATGTCATGTTCCGTTATTAAAAATATACTATGTATTTTTTATTTTATGCTAAATGTGTACTGTGTAAATCTCGGACAAATTAGGCCTGGTGATCTGGAAGCGTCGGAATTTGAACCATGACCTCACGGATATAAGTCTATTTCACACCATTATGTCATCCATTAATAGGCTATAAAATCAATTTAATTAAGTACGTGATACATATCATAAATCACTAGGATTCATTCAAAATTTATTTACTCTATCTATCTCTTAAAAAAAATATTTTAATTTACACTTAAAACTCCACTTCTATTATAAAATTAGTTAATATTAATTATAAATAAATAAGCATATTTTTAATTATTTGTATTATATGAATATATTATTTTTTTTACAAAATAATTTTCATATTGCACATATTTTTTTTCTTACTATATAATTTTAAAAATATTTAAATAAATATTCTTAAGATTTTTAATTATATATATATTAAATTTATTTTAAAATTATCAATATTATAAATTATAAAAATAATAAAATAATATTATATCACTAATTAAAATAGTTGAAAAAAATAACTTATTTTTCAATTTACTATAAAATTTTTAAAAACTTATTTCTGACAAAGTAAGTATTAAAAAAAAATACTTTATCCCTCCTATTTATACTTACAGTGTTCATTTTTGTTTGTTCCATTTATTCTGTCATTTTTTTAAAAAAAAATTATATATATTTTAATCTCATTTAAAATTTTATAATTTATAAATTTATAATTTATAATTTCTTTTAATTTTAATTAAATTATTTAAATTTTAATCTAAAATTATTTTAATATACAGTCAATTTTTTTACTAATATATTTTAATTATTTACTCATTCTAATTTCCATATCTACCATAAAAAGAACAGTAGTCGGGAAGGATGAAGTTTTATCTACTTATCAAATCAATAATTAATAAATTTTAAAAAATAATGACATTAATAGACAGGCAAAAAGACAACATCGAAACAAACAGTCAGACTCACCAGTTTAATGCGAAGTGACACGTGGCGGCCGAGCTATGCGGCACGCGACAACCGCTCGTGGTGGGGCCCACTATGTGGCTGACGTAATGAGGGCAAACTCGTCTTTTCAACCGAATGCCGTCAAGCCGCCTCCAGGTTCGGAGCCGAACTTAACCGCTTCGTGCCGGGTAAAACCTCGAACCAGCTGAAAGGTCCCTGGATCAGAGGTCCAGAACAAATAATTACGCCCACGTTATTGAAAATTTTCTATGGGAGCCCCCGGAGTCCCGACCGTGGTCCACTGTTTTGCCCTAACAACCCAGTCAAAACGACGAGTGAAGTATTTTTATTACAGACAGGCAGAAGAATTCTAACAAACAGAAAAAATATCTGTAAAAAAAATAATTAATTAAAACTAATAATTTGGTCAACCAAACAAAATCATCAAACCCGAAACAACGACATATACCAAATTGTTAACCGATGGTGCACAGGACGACGTCGTCTTTGAGTTTCAATTAGAGTGACGTAAGGCATGACGACATACATACATCGCACTTACCCATTCGGGGAAATTAATAATTTTGAAAGACGCGGCTATATGTAACTGTAACTGTAACCGTCCGGCGATTTCAGCCTAAAGTTGTCGTGCTTGCATATATATATTATTTTTATTTTTTAATTTGTGTTTTTATATTTTACTTATATAAAAATGTATTTTTTTAATATCGATTAAAAATATTTTATTTCTTTACTAAAATTTTGGATTTGATTGCCGACATTCTTTTCCATATCACTATCAATATATGTATTTATTTTCCTTTTTACAAAAATCAATATTAGTATAAAATATTAATATTTTTTATATTAATTATACAAATATATGAAAAAATAAAATAAAATAAATTGCATCAAACCTACCTTCACTTTCATAAATCGGGCAAAATCTTTTATATTTCTAAAATTGCGTCGAATTCTTTTGTAATTTCATAAACTGTGCGACTGACCACTTGGCTGTCATTTTTTAAGGATATTTGAACTAAATGCTATTCAAACTGTGAATGAATTTTGGAATCTTAATTTCTAAACTCTAAAATTACAAATATATTCAATTTTCTTTATCTTTAGTCTCATAAAATAGTAAATATACTAAAAATAGTTATTTTTCTCAGGTTTTAAGAGTTTATTTTTATTGTTTTTTTACGTTAAATATAAGAAAAATAAATATATTTGTAATTTTAGGAGTTTAGAAATTGAGATTTTAAAATTTATTTGCAGTTGAGGCGCATTTAGGTCAAATACCATTAAATAAATACCATCGGGGTTAGATGCATAATTTATAAAATAACGAGGTAGTTTGACGCAGTTTTAGAAGAACGGAAGATTTGACACAATTTTGTGAATATTTGACACAATTTCGTGAAATCACGTATAAATTTTGTACAATTTAATCAAAAAAAACTTAGAATAAAAACAGTAAACAAACAGACTCTATATTTCTTTCCTTGTTTAATAAAATATTTTTTATTTTAGTAGATTTCAAAATAAAATATTTATTAATTATACTGTATATATTAAAAATATTCTTATAATTTGTAATATATAATTCACAGGACACGTTAACATAATTCAAATAAAATATATAAATTTATAATGCATATTGTATTAATTTAAACAATATACTATAAGTCAACTTTCACTTCGTATGTGTATTTGTTGGGGGTTTGGATTTTGAATTGGGATTTGAATAGTAAAAATTTTGAATTTGAATAGTTATATGATGTGATATAAATAGGTGTTGATGTGATGTTTTGAATGTAAAATTGATTTTTAGTATAATATAAAAAATAAAAAATATATGTTTGATTTGATATTTTTTTGGAGAAAAAATATGATGAATAGTGGAAATTTAATCCAATCCCCCGAACAAATACACCAGCACCTTAACATTCCTTACATATACTTTCTTCTTTCAATTTTATATTTATTTATTTATTTTTGTATGGTCTTTCAAAAGGTATGATTTTGATAATTTATTTGATAAATAATTGTAGAAAAAAAATTGTGTAATTACAAATACTTTACTTTCTGAAAAAGATCCAAATTTAAAATAATAATAATAAAATATAACATATATATAATTATGTTTATATTTGTGTTTGTTTTGTATTTTTCATAAATGATTTTTTTGTATCAAAAGTTGTGTCAATAATATAAAAATAATACTCTCTCTGTCCAACTAGAAAATATACATATTTCTATTCTGGGACGTCCAATTACAAAATAAACAGTTTATT